TTTAAATTATTAATCCTGCACCCCGTATCTCGGCTCCCATTGCATAGATTTTTGTAAAACTTTCGAATTTTCAGTCCTATTTTCGAAATATGTAAATCGTAGATAACGGATGTGGCCTAAAATGCTATCTCGGCTCCTATTGCATCGGTTTTAGTAAAACTAGGTATCAGGGCGTATTTTTCGACGAAAAACTCGAATTCTCTGTCACTTTTTCAAATATCTAAATCCAAGATGGCGGATGTGACCTAAAATGCTATCGACTTCTACTGCATCCATTTTTGTTAAGATAGGTACGAGGGGATATTTTTCGACTAGCAACTCGAATTTTCAGTCCAATTTTCGAAATTTTCAAATCCAAGATTGTGGATGAGGCCCAAATTGTTGTTCTACCTTCTGATTTTGATAAATTTATTTTTGTTTAATTTGGTCCCTTTGTCTCAAGTAGCCTATGATTTGTGCTTAAACTCTCTCATTGAGTCGGATTAATATTCACTTTATTCGCTCAAGGTGCTTTCGATAGAATTATTTCAAACTACAGTATATAGTAAATATAGCATATATGTAGTATAATTAGTATGTTGAAATGGTAAAAACGGTCAAGGGACAGCCATTGATTTTTCACGGAACTCGCATGCTTTGTAACAGGGGCCAAGTGTGAAAGGCGTAAACAATTGTAGTTATAGCATTGTCTGATCAGTAGAAAGTGATTTCTAATAGCACGGATCTGATTGCCACTGACACTTTTGAACCATCCCTTCCTCCCTTGATATATTCTTACCAAGTCTGCATTTTGTTTACAGGAAATACTTAGCAAGAACTACAAAGGAAATCGTCCAAACTACAAACTGAAGGGAAATACTTAGCAAGAATTAAGAAAGTAAATCGTCCAAACTACAAACATAAGGTAAGCACAAGTTTTAACCAATTTATTTTAATTTTTTGGCGTACGACATGGCTAACAAGGGGAACTTACGGACCTGCCGCCTCCGATTGAGCTGAATTTTTTTTTTACAGACTCTATGGACCAATTCTAGAGGTCAATTTGAGCCGTTTTCCCGAATGCGCAATAGGAAGGGCGTAAAAAATTCCCAAAAGTTGCGTTTTCGCCGTGTGATTTGGTCATGCGGTGCGTGGCAACACTGAAGCAGCCTCTTGTGCCGCTTTATCGGCCTGAAGGTTTCAGGGGAGTTCGGAGCCCTACTGCACGGGTGCTGGTTCCATAACGGTACGGTCCCGGGTTCGATTCCCGAGTGAATTGGTTACTTTTCATTTTCCCCATGATCACGTAAAATTTTATTTTTAATTCTTCATCCGCATTTATAAATCAAGCAGTTCCGATCACTATCCCCCCCCCTTATTTTACGTACATTTCCCCCCAATATTTATTCACTTTGACCACCAATAACCGTATGAAACTTCATTGACATAAATTAATGAATTAAAAAGCAAAAGGAAACCTTATTCGTTACTACATTATCTCCCAATGTTTTCCTAGAAAAATATGTAATGTGTAAATAAATCAAAGAGCGACCCCAAACCCATGTGCATGCAAGGGCCGTCAAGGAACATATTATTTCGGCCCTTTGCTTTTTAATTCATTAATTTATGTCAATGAAGTTTCATACGGTTATTGGTGATCAAAGTGAATAAATATCGGGGGGAAATGCACGTAAAATAAGGGGGGGTAGTGATCGGAACTGCTTGATTTATAAATGCGGATGAAGTAGTACGAGCAGGGATCGCGTCTGCAAAGGTTGTTGCCACAACTGTCGCTGGTTTAGTGGAATCATCGTTTTTGGCATCTGAACTTTCAGTATGGAGCAATGTATTATGAGTTTTAAGGCACACGCGACAAGTCCATGTAGAATTGCACTGGTCGACGGGATGCGAACGCAGACAATTTTTGCAGAGTCTGTGCTGCTGCGCTATTGAAGAGCGCTCTCGGACCGATTTTTGTAAAAACGCCTCACATTTGAAAACTGGATGAAGTTCTTTACAAAGTGGGCATGGATCGGTCCAATTGTTTGATTTAGACGAGTTGTTTGGTTTTTTCCAACTACTCTTTTTATTAGATTTTTTCTGATTTCGTTCATTCGAGTCAGAATTTTCTCCAGTTCCTACTAGAGCTCGAGCATTTTTCTGTTGAGTCTTGGGTTTCGGATTTGAGGAAGAAAGTTCTTCAACCAAAAGAGTTTCCTTTTCAAGAAAATTAATAAGTTCATCAACTTTAGGAAACTTGGCATCCTTGCCTCGATAATCTTCATAGTGATTCATTTTGCGTAATAACGCCGCAATGAGGAGATGAGGATTTTCTTCTTTGTACCCTAGACCTTCAAGCGCTTGAGTATGCTCGCGGTATTGCGTAAGAAAGGTTGGAATATGCTCTGTTTTGGAAATTTCAGGCAAATCCAAAAGTCCGTGTAAGTGATGGACAACGTGACGTCTCTCGCACTGGTACCTTTTACATAAGAGTTCATAAGCAACATCGTAATTTTGTTCTGTGATGTTAAGTCCTTTTACAAGATCAAGGGCTTCACCGCGAAGTGAGCTTAAGAGGTACTGGAATTTTTGTACTGATGATAATTCCGGCAGAGAGTGCACATTGATGTTAAAAACGTTAAAGAATGAGCTCCAGGTCTCAATTTTTCCTGAGAATTGAGGCAACTCCATTTTTGGAAGTCGCACTGACGCTGCTGATTTTTGAGATGAGAAACGAGTTGAATTTGAGTTTTCATTATGCGAGCTTTTTAGAGAGTTGAACTTGGCTTTCACTTCGTAAAAGAGCTCCTCAAATTGTTCCATCTCAGATTTTAAGTCAGTTCTCTTCTGCTCCGAAATGTGAGAAGAGAGGCGGACGAGCTCGGAAAAATTTTCCTCGTGTTCCTTTCACAGACTTTCAAGATGCTCACAGCGAGCAAGAAAAATTTCGCGTTTTTCCGGCAAATTTTCTGATAGCGCATTTGTGTCTTGTACACGTTTGAAAAGCAATGAGTTCCTAATGAGAATCTCGTTTACTCTAGAGAGTTGCTCTTCCTGCACTTTTGCCTTTCTTGGAGCCATATTTGAAAGAAGGAGACACGTTCTTTGATGCTTATTTTTGAGAGCAGTGGACTGTATTTTTTTTAACTGAAAATTTTGCAGTTCAAATCCGGTTCGGTCAGGACCAATGAAAGTTTAATGTAAGTCTTCTAAAAAGATTAGCCGAAAGGGTCGTCCACGGCACCCGGACCGTAGGCAATCGTGACCGGTCACGAGTAGCGCGATGGAAGCTAATTAAAGAGAGAGACGGACATTTACTTTATTGAAATTTTGATGAATTCATCCAAGACCAATCCACACAGGTCAGTCATTCCCGTGGACGAGTTTTGGTACTCTACTGCGCAGTGACGTACTATTGAGTGCTTGCAATGTATTTCTTATGGGAGCACCCATTGTGACGTACTATTGAGTGCAGCTGAGTTAGGGCCGGGTGGGGAAGTGGCTTTCAAAAAGATGCGCAATGACTGACCTGTGTGGATTGGTCTTGAATTCATCCGCGGCACTCGGACCGCAGGCAATCGTGTCCGGACACGAGTAACGCGAATTAATTTTTAGACCGAAAAGAACTGTTTATTGGCAGAGGGCCGGAATTTGACATGAAGTTATTATTAGTAGAAATGAGAGAGGAAAGAAGATGAATTTAGAACACATACTTACTTGGATAAATGAAAAGACGTAACTGATTAGGAAGAAAGGTTATAGCGCACGAAAGAACATATGCGGGGCGAATGTACTTGCCCAGAGACACTACCAGAGAACGGTAGGTGAAGCATAATTTAGGGATGTCGATTTTTTCGATTCGATTCTGACGAATCGATTTTTTCTCTGAAAAAATCGATGTTTTTGAATCGATTTTGTAAGAGGCGATTTATCGATTCAATCGATTTTCTATTTAAAAAAATCGTAAAAATCGTTCAGACTTTTTCGCTCTGTCTAGATTACTCTTTTAACGTCACGTCAAACCTACTTACGTTCAAACGCGGGTCCAGAAGGAAGGTATTTAGCGTTTGGTAAACTTTCTAATACATTCTTTTAGGTTTAATTGCAATTGCTGATCAGATCTTCAAGCACCATAATGACCATAACCTCTTTGAAATTTGAATGAATACTATAAACCGTCAAAACGGTCAAACGTCAAACATTCCTTGAACTAGTTGTGGGTTTTGACCGGTCTCAAAGTTAAATCTCTTAAATCTTAAATTTCTTTTTTTTTCTTTTAAATCTTTAAAAATCTTTTCTCTTCTCTCTTAAATCTCTCTTAAATCTCAGTAGTTAACTTTAAATCAGGTTTTTTCGAGGAAAATTTCAGAGTGCTGAAAAAGTGCTGAAATTTCTTTGTCTCAGTGCTGATTTTTCGGCCTTGGTGCTGAAATTTGATGAGGCTGAATGCTGATTTTTGAAAATTCCATCCGGGAACCCTAACTTACAAGGGTTATGGAGAGTATTGTAAGTTTGATTTGTATTGTGGACGAATAAAAATTCAATTGTAGAGCACAGCAAGGCAGTTTATCTTTTTACCTTCTCCCGACAAGGAAAACCCTAAGCCCAATTCCTCTTGATGTTTCACCATTATTTTTTGGGGATGGGAGGTTGAATTTCCTTTCAGTTCTGTCAATGAGCATGTCATGTCATACCATTTCTCTTAAGCCCAGGTCACACTATCAAACTTTTCATCTGACTTAATTGAACAAAAAGTTGGATGAAAAGTTGAACGCAAAAAAATTTGATTTAATTACTCTCCGTTCAACTTTTCATACAATTGGCGGCGCCATTTGGATGGAAAGTTGAACCAAGGTAAGTGCCATCAGGGGTTGCTAAGATATCTAGTGCACGGAGGTATGAAGTGTAAAAGGACCCAAATGGATTCGTTTCATGAAATTTTTTTCAGGAAATTTTCTCCAAATTTTGGTACTATTTCATGACAAGAATTGTTCTTGGGTGGCTGGATTCCCATTAAGTGAGAGCCAATCGCACAATCTCACCAATGCTTGATGGCGCTTAGCTATAAAATTTCCACTCTTCAATTGATAATACCTCTAATTCATGAGACAGGTGTAGGATGGCTTAACATCTCAAGCGCCTAATTTTTATTTGGGAGGTTTGAGGACAAGATGAGCAAATGAATTGTTTTATTATGATCAGGTGATAGCGCTACTGTTTCGATGTAAGTTTTCTCCCATAAATTTGCCCTTTCTGCACTGGGGATGAATTATTTGACTTGGGTCTTCAGGGCAATGTTTCATGTAAATTTTGACATTTTTTCTGCCAATGCCGATAGTATTGACATACCTTCCTAAGTTTCCTTAATTCTTCCTATTTTCTGAAAGGCACAAGAACAGCCTGCAGAAAGAGCCATGCGGAGAGCACAGGATGTGGCCAGGCGTAGAAGACAACTGCTCCGGCCACCAGGGCTAGAATTTTTAAATTTATTCAATGGAAATCCTGCCCTTGGAGTTGTCCGCAACTTTAATCCTGGCCATCCAATCAACCGGCGTTCGGGCTGATTTTAATTTTTTTTCTGACTTATAAATAAAATAAAAAATTTCTTCCAAAAATCAATGAGCATTTCTAACAAACAAGATCCTGTATTACGGGGCATTCCGCATCACTAGGGTTCTTAGACTTTTTTTCTTTTCTTAAAAAATGTTCTTGCTGGCATTTCTCTTTTGTGAAAACTTTTCTCTACTGCCGATGAAAGTGTGCCAATGCACAAGATTCAGATAAAGGTAACACAAAATAAATCTGCTCTCCAAAAAGTGCTATAGCAAAAAAAAGGCACTCATAAAAGTGGGAATTGATGCTCACAGAAAAAAGCTAAAATTCGAAACCGCATCAAAAATTGTGACTATTTTAAATGAAAAATGGATCTCTGTCACTCTGTCCTGGGTTTGAGCTTATTTCAGGGAAGTATTCCATGTCCAAGCATTAGATCAGTATTAGAACTGCTGCTCTGAAAAGGGAAATGCTGGCCTATTGGGTCGACTATAGACCATACAAACTCTCTTAGGGAGTAAAATTTGATTGTTTTTATACGCTTTAATTGATGAATAATTAAGATTGAAAATGATGAAATCTAATGGACTAATAGGCCCTTAACACTGGACAGATATGACGTAAAATATAAAAATAGGAATGAGAAATATAAAGAATCGAATGAAACCGAAAATGAAAATGTAATAAAAAATAAAAACGCTTACATTTAAACTTATAAAATACACAGTGAAAACTAACTCTGATAAGTAGGTAATCACAGTTTCGCATTCCATAGGTAACGCTTTTCCACTTAAGCTTAGGAGCAAACTAAAAAAATGTATGATGAGGAACAACTTAGAAAGAGAACAGATTTTCTGTAACAAAGACTGAAAATTATTAGAACAAAATAAAAAAAATGTTGAAAGAAGTACGGAATGCAGGCACAAGGAGCCGAAATACTATAGAACGAGTGCAAATCTCAACTGAACCTTAAGTACATTATTAAATTTGTTTGCAATAAAAAATAACTCGAGAAATACCATTTTACTGGTCCTACTAATACTTTAATAAACATTATGTCAATTTGTGGAGAACAAAAAAAAAATCTAAGTTCTAAGAAGACTTAGGAAAACTGTAAATATTTGATGAATTTTCCAGTTGTTGGAGAAACAGCTTTGCAGATAGGAAAGTGAAAAGAAACTCTAATGAGTACTTTAAGTATCGTACTCAATATTGCTTTTGCGTATTTAACTAAGAGAAATCTAGAAAAATTTACAATGAGGAACGACTTTAAAAGAGATCTAATTTTCAGTACCAATGCTGAAAATTTTCATTACAAAATAAAAAATACCGAAAATAGTAGGTACGAATGCCAACTTCGAAAGGCCACTTGAGCCAAAATACTGCTTTCAGTGAGTGCAAATCTCAACAGAACCCTAAGAACATTATTCAATTTGTCTGCAATAAATTTTTCTTGAGAAATACTTCGTTACTGCTCCTACTAATACTTTAATAAACATTATGTCAATTTGTGGAAAGCAAAAATAAACTTATGTTCTAAGAAGACTCGGAAAACTGTAAAAAGTTTAATGAATTTTCCAGTTGTTGGAGAAACAGCTATGCAGTTGGGAAAGTGATAAGTAACTCTAATGAGTAGTTCAAGTACCGTGCTCAATATTGCTTTTGTGTATTGAACTAAGAGCAAACTAGAAAAATATACAGTGAAGAACAACTTTAAAAGACACCTAATTTTCTATGACAGGTGCAAAAGGTGCAAACAATAGAACAACAAAACATTTGTGGGAGAGCCCAAGAATAAAGGCACTTCAATTTCACACGAAGTTGACGAAGTCTACACTTTTAACTTCAATACGCAATATACTTAAAAATATATTCTAAAGCACCTGGTAGGTAAGCCAACGAAACAAATATTTGACTAAAGGTCCAAAAAATGGAACAACAAAACTAGACACATCTTACAAGTTCCACTTCTCTTTGGACAGTGAGTTTAAGAACAACGAAGCTGAGAGCCTTTGGGAATCAAGCCTGCTTCTCTCGTTTGTTAAAATAAGCCCAGCTTGAGAAAATAACCTCTCTGAGGGTACAGAGGTGGCAGGCATAATTAAAAACCTTTTTGCAACTCTAAATAAACTAGAGAAAACATCCTTATACCTCATCCAGTAGGTGATGGGACAATGTTTTGTAGGAATCGTTTTTTCCTCGAGATACAGTCTCAGCTCTCTGTGCATACCCCCGATGGTGCGGTTGCGTGAAGAATTTCTCTGTGCTCTAATAGTTTCATGGTGCAATAAAAGACCATGATGAACTGATCCGTCTTCTTCTGCTGCCTGATCTAAATTTTCCACTTCGGCCACCATGTCCTCTCTACTGACCAATTCTGATATCTTGGTAAAAGCAGCTGCCACATGGGTAGGATGCTGCGAGTGATCCTGCTTAAATCAAGAATCTAGAATCATAGCCATCATGAGATTCTGGTTCAACTCAATATTTCCAAATCGATCTGGACGATCAATCTCAGCCAGAAGTGCAGCTTGCACAGCAATAGCTACTGCTCATTCAGGTCTTTTCAGTTGAATTGTGGCACGGAGGCAGTTTACCAATGGAATTACGGCTGAGCACGTAACATAATGAAGACCACTTAAATGTCTGGTCATTTCCTCAAGAGGCTCCAAGAGCGTCATCACCTCTTGGAGCTCGCTAACTTTTCTTGCACTAATCATCTGTACCGAGTCAGGGTGGTTTATAAGCACACCACTGATATAGTCTTTTAATTTTAAAAATCTTTGGATCATATAGAATTCTGAGTTCCATCGAGTTATCACTGACTGCATGAGTTTGAGGGCTTCACCAGGTGGTTGGGCGTCTCTTAGCTCATCAGAAAGAATATAACTTTGAATAAAAGCTGTGATGATGGCCTTCACTGGTGCTAGGAGCGGTGCCAGGAAGGGATTTGCTAATACCACTTCAGCAATAAGATTAAGCACATGCGCAATGCTATGTAGATGTTTATCTTCTTTCCCGGTCAAAAGATTTGCAGCATTCACCATATTCGCAGCTCCATCCGTTACAACAAGGACTATCCGAAGGGTTCTAAGCCCCCAATCTTTAAAAGTTTCTTCTACTTTGTTCTTTATATTTACACCTAGGTGCCTTTCTTCCAGGTGTACTGTATTTAAAATTAAGCTAGCCAGTTTACCATTTTCCATAAAATGAGCTGTAATGCCCAGATAACTTTTATGGTTCATTGTATCTGTCCATACATCAAATGTAATGCAGATATAGTCAATATCTTTAAATGACGTATCTTTGACTAATGGTTTTAGTTCTGAGAACTTTTTTTCCATCAGATAAGTGATTTTTGTTTTACCTGGTATTTGAAATTGTGGAACAGCCACTGAACAGAAATAACGAAAACCTTCTTTTTCGACAATTCTAAAAGGTTCGTTATCTTTGGCAATCATAAACATAAGAGCGTTCACCAACTGTTTATCTCGAGCGCCCCCTGAGAGGAAGAAAAAATATCAATAATATTAGTGACTGTACTATCAATAATACTATTCATCATAGAATGAAATGATTGCAAAAATAACACTTTCTCTTACTGATTTGTATTATGAACAGGGCAAATTTGGTTTGAGGGGACTTCCGCCCCTCCTCTTAAGCAAAGCGATGCATTGGGACTGTTGTGTAGGTTATATATTCGTATATAACACACTTAAATTTAATTAAATGTCGTCTTTTCATCACTATTTATCATTGATATATCTTTCCAAACACCTTAAATTTTATCTAGCTAATTTTTCTGGCTTTTTTCCTTAGTACCTGAAAAAATGGAGGGGGAAGGGTGACAGGTTGCATTATGGGTGCCTCGGAAGGAGGAAAATGGTATCAAAAAGTCAGCAATCTTGCGTAAGACTTGATTGGCCCTTCAGGTAGATAATAATATCTTCAATTGTTACCTATTTTGAAACTGTTGCTGGTATTGAAAGTGGCTGGCATGGTGGGCTGGCTAAGGTTTCTCGCTGGAGTACCCGCTCGGCTAGGTTGCTGTGATTGTCTTGAAGGAGTCGCTGTGCTTGGAACTCTCTGAGGATCCGCTTCGGCTGGCATGGTGGGCTGGCCAAGATTTCTCGCTGAAGTACCTGCTTGGCTGGGTTGCTGAACTTGTCTTGAAGGAGTCACTGTGCTGGGAACTCTAGGAGGATCACTTTCTCTGCTCGGGCCAGCTACTGGTTCAACTTGTTCAGGCACCTACAATGAAAGAAAATAACCTTCATAAGATTAACCTTCACCATCTTTCTATTCATAAAAGCAAAAAAAAAAAATCCTTTGTTGCATATCTTTGATATTTAGTGTCTAAATATGCTGTGCAATTATCAATCTTGAAAATCCCCCTATGGGCATTATTAAATTTGAGGTAGTTCCTGGGAGGGAGCCACGAAAACAGTCAGGGGATCAATTTGTGGATATTAACATATCTTGGCAGGGCAATTCAACAGATTTTTTTTTTTTAAGTAATCGCAATAATCGAAGCACATATGGACAATAAGCAAAGCAGAAGAGTCATCCTTTGTGAAAACAACATTTACTTTTAAACTTTACATGTCTAATCACACGGGTCCAAAGTGTGATTTAAGCCTTAACCCAAAAAAATTCATCAGGCCAAAGAAAAGTTTCAGATTTTTGGGGTTCTCTGAAAGTTGAAAAAAGTGACTTTGTGCCTTTTTGATCCTAAGTTGACTTTGTGCCTTTTTGATCCTAAGTACTTGCTTCAGCTGATGTACGTATGTACATCATCTGCATAAATTAAAGGCAATAAAAATTAGAATATTTTCTTCATAGAATGATCATTACCTCATCAGGTGCATCTGGATCATCTGGATCTGGATTTTCAGCCTGCTGGGCAGCCTCAAGAAGGCGGTGGTAGATTTCTTCATGTTTCCGCAGGAAGTGTTGTTTTAGGTTAGTTGTGTTTCCACACGTCTTTACCATTTGTTTACACCTCCTGCATCGTTTTTCGAATCGTGAGATGGTATCGAACTCGGGTTTGAGGTTAGCACTTGCCTTCCGCTTTTGGCTTCGGCCCGCCATACCTACAATATTGTGGCAGAGCAATTAATATTATTACACAACAGACTAATGAACTTTGCTTATAAAAGAGCTGTCCCGGAAATAATAACTTAATGTAGAGAGATCACTACTGCTAAATGGTGTCCAACGAAGATTTCCAAAAAAATCATAAAAACTAGATTCCCTGATATAGAAAAATAACCAATGATTACTTTTGAACCGAAGGTCTCTAACAAAAAGTACATGTTTTAGAGGCCCTTCACTGGCTATCCTGAGAATGTCAATGACAGAGTCAAAAGTTTTATTCAGGGGCTTCATATTTTCCTATACGCAGCAACAAACATTGCCAACTTATAGTGATTGATGAAACAGTTTGCCAAGAAAATTGGTCAACCATGCAAACGAAGTTAATAGATCTTGGTTGCTAAACATATCAAGCAACATGTCGCTCATCCATCATGAGAAGAAAAATTATAGTGGTGATCCCCAGAACTGAAAACTAACTTTAAAACTATGGGAAACCATTGCGGCAGAATCTTAAAAATACCTTGTTTCTGGACAGTTTCTGTTTTAAAACTATCCAGTATGTAGTTTCTCAACCGCATAAAATCTTCACTTCTAATTCGATCCGTCAGAAAACAATATGGCTGTTCATTGCATATCATACCAAACGGTTAAAATGAAAAGACCTTTTAGGTACTCGACAAAACATTATAAAATCTATTCACCTGGGGCTGTAGCTTCATCTGGAAATGATGGTTCCTATTTTATGAGGCTCCTCTATTCCAACAAATTCAGGCCCAGATTTGGGCCTATACAGGGTGTTTCAGACCACCCGTACCAGGCCTTTTTCTTGGTTGGTTTAGGTCGTACGAAGTCGGAGACCGCGGGGTTGAATAGGGAATCGACCCCAAGGAATCCGAATTTCGTGGTCCCGAAACCCCCCCACCCCCCCTTGGGGGGTAAAGGGGGGGTCACGATGCTAAAAGTCACGGTTCCCGACCGAATTGCGGATGGATCGCATCAAAATTGAAAAGCACGGAAAATTTCACGTGGAATTGACCCCTAAAAATCCAAAATCAGACCATCCAAGGCCCAAAAATGACCCCCTAAAGAGGGGGACAGTACCCCCCTCCATAATTTCTCTTTGATCTCAAAATTGACGTAAATTCTCCAGAAAAAGACGGATTCCCAGGTAGTCGACCTCGAGAAATCCAAATTTCATGGTCCCGAAGCTCCTCTAGCCCCCCTTGAGGGGTAAACGGGGGGGCCCAATTTTAAAAATCGGGGCTCCTTTCCGAATCGCAAATTGATTGCATCCAAATTGAGGAGCAGAACACATTTACATCTTAAGTGACTCCTAAGAGTTCTAGTAGACCCCCTGAATGGCAGAAAGTAACTCCCTGAGTAGGGGGGGCTTCGCCCCCGCCAAAAATCTCTCAAGATTCCTTTTTGGTCGCAAAATTGACGTCGATTCTCCAGAAAAAGACGGTTTCCCATGTAATTCGACCCCGAAGAGCTCAGGGAACATGAAATTTAGAGTCCTCGGGGTCGAATTACATGGGAAACCGTCTTTTTCTGGAGAATCGACGTCAATTTTGCGACCAAAAAGGAATCTTGAGAGATTTTTGGCGGGGGCGAAGCCCCCCCTACTCAGGGAGTTACTTTCTGCCATTCAGGGGGTCTACTAGAACTCTTAGGAGTCACTTAAGATGTAAATGTGTTCTGCTCCTCAATTTGGATGCAATCAATTTGCGATTCGGAAAGGAGCCCCGATTTTTAAAATTGGGCCCCCCCGTTTACCCCTCAAGGGGGGCTAGAGGAGCTTCGGGACCATGAAATTTGGATTTCTCGAGGTCGACTACCTGGGAATCCGTCTTTTTCTGGAGAATTCACGTCAATTTTGAGATCAAAGAGAAATTATGGAGGGGGGTACTGTCCCCCTCTTTAGGGGGTCATTTTTGGGCCTTGGATGGTCTGATTTTGGATTTTTAGGGGTCAATTCCACGTGAAATTTTCCGTGCTTTTCAATTTTGATGCGATCCATCCGCAATTCGGTCGGGAACCGTGACTTTTAGCATCGTGACCCCCCCTTTACCCCCCAAGGGGGGGTGGGGGGGTTTCGGGACCACGAAATTCGGATTCCTTGGGGTCGATTCCCTATTCAACCCCGCGGTCTCCGACTTCGTACGACCTAAACCAACCGAGAAAAAGGCCTGGTACGGGTGGTCTGAAACACCCTGTATGTTGAAGGATACCATCCATGGCCTCACGACATGCTTGGCCTTTCCTGCGTGAGAGAACTGAGAGAAGTTCCAGCAAAGTTTGCAGAACTTGTTCCTTGTGCGCACATAAAATTGGAGAAAGACAATGTGCAGACGGAGCAAGTTCTGCAAACTTCACACAAACTTCTCTTGTGCAGACAAGGCTCTAAGTAGGCAGACTGTTATGTACAGAAATTCGTTCAAAGATATCTCCCCGAGGAAGAGACATCCTAAGTGTTGGGCGTAAGTAGTAAGCAGAGATGTTCCTAGTATGTGAATGTTGCGGACAGACCTCAGAGAAACTATCTACAATTTTGTTAGCTTGCCGCTAGCCCAGTATGTTACTTCAAGGCCCTTGTTGTGACAGAGCTTTCGCATGGACATAGATTGATCAATTAAAATAATGTGGTGGCACATTAGTACCTAAGAGCGAGAGCATGGAGAGGCCTATCAGCGTATAGGCCTGGGCCTTTTAATTGTTCCCATCGGCTTTTCGACCTCAATGTGATAATATGAAATCTCTGTAAGGAATAGGCGTGTAAAATTAATTACCAACAATTCTTATTACTTACCCAAAAATGCCGTTCAATCGTTCAATTACCATCCACCACGTTGAGGCCTCAGGCCACCACGCCACCAAAATCCAAATCAAATCAACGCCACTAAAGCTTTCTTTCACTTCAAAAATTTCTAGCGGGGAACAATGATATTTATGATTCGTTTTTAAAATCGAATTTTGACGTGCGATTTTAAATCGATTATTCGACTTTTTGATATTAACCGAATCGATACGCGTAATCGATTATTTAAAAAATCGACATCCCTAGCGTAATTTAGATACGGCACACGGGCCAACCGGTCAAACTGGATTTGAGAAGGAATTACGCGGACGCGTGGTTTAAGTTAAGAAAGGTTGTGAAGGAAGGCACCGGTGAGTATTATAATTGAGGATTTATGGAGAGAAATAATCAAAGATGGATTTTACATATTGAAACAGACAAAATAATAAAGAAAAGAATTTAAATATCTTATGAAAAGCCGGAGGGGCGAATAAAGAGCCCGCAGCGCGATCGGGCGGGCCGCGGCGGAACTAGGCGCGCGGCGCGACATGAGATGCGGGCGGCTTGCCTAGCTGACGGAATGAAGGCTAAATATTGGTGACGCTAGCGGCGCCAACAGTCTTTTTTCTGTAAAACATAAAGAAACGAACTAAAAATACAAATTAATAAAGAAAAAATCTACCTAAACGTTATGATAAAATACGAACAATGAGGTACCTAGCTGGCAAACACGTAGGGCCACGTAATGAGTAAATTGAAAGGACAAAAGTTTCAGAGATCACACACCGTCATTACTTTCAGTGTAGTTAACATCCCATCCCATCCCATCCCACCTATAATAGTTACCCGACCTATGTCAGCAATTCTTTCGTTCACGATAACTATCGTTAGATTTACGTTAGCTTCTTCAAATTTTGCAATTTTGTCCATTTTGGTCTTATGAAGAACTGTATAAATTTTCGGTTGAATCGCATTTACCGTTTACTTAAAAACGGTAATTAACGTAAGTGCCCTACTTACGCTGCTTTCCACTAAACTGTTTTTATGAAAGTTCCATTCCTTGGTTTCCTTGGTAACCTTTGTTTGCTATCAGCTGATGTTTTATTTCAACTTATTTTTTTCCTTTTTTTCATTTTTTTTTCTTTCTTTTTTTAATAAATCATTGCTAGGTTAGTTCTAATTTTTTTGCCAGCATTAATTCTACCTCCCCCCCCCACCCGCAGCTAATTTTTCTAGCTCCATCACCCTCTCCCCAAAACTCATTTTTCTATCGATTTTATCATTTTTTTTGTATGGCATGTCTTGATCCCCTACCACCATTTTTTCGGGGTTGTAGATATTTTAGCGGCCTCTAGACCCGTGACTGGCATTTCGCTAGTCAATAATAACAAGAAGTTCGTCGCAGAAGTGAAATGGAAACAACAAAAGAAAATATTAAATTATAATACGAATAAAATTTTTGAAAAAATAATTGAGCTACGAGCCAAAAATAAAGTAAACAAATAATATTCCAAACTACATAGAGCTCAAATTGTAGCTCAATTATTTTTTCAATAATTTTATCATGTCATATGAAAGCCAGCCACATTGGAATTGAAATGTATGATATGAATATTGAATAGATGTCATTGTATCATTTTCGAATTATTCTTATGAGGCACCTTAAACGCACTGAAACCTCTTAAATTGAGGGGCTCGGAGAAAAAGGCGCTTATAAGTGCAGTTTTTGCCATAATACGAGAAATGCGTGTTTGAAGTTTCGAAATTACATGTATCCTTATGGTGGAAAGAAAGCTCAAACTGACTTTTTGATGCTTAAAAATTGGATTTTGGGAGCGAATTTTTCACAGAATATGCATTAAGGCTAGTTTTAATTGAAATTATTAATATCTCAATTTTTTCAAAAACTGCACTTGTGCGCCTTGTTCTCCAAGCCCCTCAATTAATGTATGCCAGAAATAAAAGGACGCCTATCTTGGGAATTGATTAAAAGATATTGTTTTTTTACACATATATAGTTTCTAAAAAAATAGTATTTCATACTAGACGCACCATGCACCATTGTCTCAATCTTGCTTTTTCCTTCCCTTTTCTTCTTAGAAAAGTCGCAAGGTAGCTTCAAACATTGAATTTGACTCTGGGACTATAATCTTTAAGTATTTCACTAAGGGTTGAGCCGCGTTTACGTGTCTTTTAGGTAATCGTATAAATCCATTTTCTCCTAACCAAGGTGATTACTTTTTGACATGACGTTTGCAAAGAAATTAACGTCTGGAAAGACGAGGGCTAGAAAACACGTGACCAAGTTGTTTTTGACCTCCGACATGAGCAATAAACAAAATACCTATATACCTTATACCTGCTGAATCACGAAGATTAAGGCAGAAAATTCAAAGGATAACAGCTGTTGAGATGTTGAATTCTCACCTATTATTTAAAGAAAAAAAATGCAAACTTGAACGTGGGAAATAGACAAAAGACAAGGAACGTTTAAATGTTGCTTACTTAAACGGAGATCGAAAAGTTTGGAATTACAGGAACAAGAGCTGGCACTGACGATACAGACGATAAGATACAGTTCTCTTCGCAAACAAGAATCACACAGGATGGCGGCAGTCTCTATTCGGCAGTCGTTATATTTACGTCACTGCAAGAGTATACTCAACATTACAGAGGAAAATTATGGCGCTAGAAAAACTCAGAGAAGTAAACGATGTGTAAAACAATGAAAATACTTATGTGCATCTAACACTAGTGATGTCACTTATGGCGAAGACGCGAAACAACCATCACCGTATTAAGCACGGTTTTTCTTCAAGCTCAAGAGCGTCCCTCATTGGTTTTTTCTGAATCTTCAATGTTGCTAAGTTACTTTTGACAAGTGGTCTCGATTGTCACTTACGCAGGGATTCGCCAAAATTTTGGGTTTTCAAAGACCACTGCTCCCTAACGTTCATTGGAACTCTTGCACCTTGTCAATGGTTAGAGTTCTCTGAGCACTGTGCAAATCGTGAATTATTATCAGCCTTGAAAAGTGCTTCCAAGAAGTGCAGTTGCCGCCAAATTTTTAAGTAAATAATTCACATGTTTTAATTTTTTAGGGGTGGAGGAGGGGGGTGGTGGAAATTAAGTGAATAATTTTTTGGGCTTGCAGGCTGCAGGGTCACTTCAATTTAATGTCTATTTGTACTTCTCTGATTTCGTATATTACTGACAATTTGCTATTCTGCAAGCTTCCGCTGTAAAGTAAGTAAGTATATAAGTACTTGGAGCGTCTACTCTTTATCTCGAGGGATAAGATAATAATGAAAATAGACGTGTATTACACAGTGCCACATCGATAGCTAAATGCGAGGAATTCGTATCTACATTGCAATATTCAAAACTCTTTATTTATGTTTTACTTCTGTCGCTTGGCTGACAAAAGGGCGTTAACTACAATTTGAGATGAGCCCGAAAAAGCATTGAGTAATATGCACAACAGGGTGCATCGTCAAGTGTGGTTACGCCCTTATGTCAGGAAGGCGACGATTGTTCCAACTTAAGGGTCTACGAGTGGCCATGAGGGGAACGATGATCTTCAGAGGACCACTGATAGTAGTTAGGCCATATCCTTAAACCGCGAGGTGCAAGGATCAACCGGTACACAGTGGTTTAAAAGTGTTTCGAATTTCCTCGAATTCTTCAGCATCTCCGATCTGTTTTGATTGCTTTTCTGACTGGAGACTTTGAATTGAACTAAATTTTGCAATGGAAGTTATCACGTCTGGCTCAACCATGAAAGAACGAGTCAGTTCAGGGAAACTAATAAATACGTTAATTCCTTATGTCCCTCACTCAGAGCGAGTTTAAAATAAAAAATAATTCGCACTTATGTGCTGAAATTCAACAAAGTAAATATCTTATAATTTGGAAAAAAAAGTTCAAACCAGGGTCTGCCCCCAAACTGGTTTGCGGTCCAACCCCGGCAAACATTTGACTTTTCGCGAGGGAAAAAGGGATGAAAATAGACGGAGAAGGCTCCAAACTCGAATAAATTACCTAGCAGGGTGTCTAGCGACCGGGAAAACCGGGAAAGTCAGGGAAAGTCAGGGAGATGAAATTGGTCCGGGAGAAGTCAGGGGAAGTCAGGGAAGAAAAATGCAGAACCGGGAGAGAAGCGAACTCCCGTCGAAGATCGCGATTTTTTGAATAACTTCACGGCGCTTCGATACTTAGCCGTGCAGCGCTCTCTCCTGGTCTGAGGTGCCATCTGAACCGTTAGTGCTGACGTAAATAAAGAGACTACATAGCGTAGTCTCTTTATTCTATGGTGCTGACTAGTGGTGCTCCCTCTCTCTATCGCTGTGTTGCGTCCGCGACGCCTCCTTTAGCGTCCGCGACACCTCTGGAAGTGCCCCCGACGCCTTTTGAAGCGTCCACGACGCCTTTAAAGCGTCCGCGACGCCTCCTTCAGCGTCTGCGACACCTTTGGGAGTGTCAGCGACGCCTGTGCAAGCGTCCGCGACAACTTTAAGGCGTCCGTGACGCCTCCTTAAGCGTCCACGACACCTCTGAAAGTGTCCGCGACGCCTTTTTAAAGCGTTCACGACGCCTTCCAAGCGTCCAGGACGCCTCTGGTAGTGTCCGCGACGACTTTTGAAGCGTCCATGACGCCTTACGCAACTTAAGGCGCGTCTGTCCGCGGCGTCCTGGACGCCGGCGGAAAATGCTGCTACCGAGTCGAGGGCGAGAGGACGCTCACATTTCGGAGCACGGCACCTTAGGAGCGGAATTTGTGGATTTTTTCCGCTCTGTCCGCTGTCAATTTCTCGAATTTTCGTTGATCGGACAGTATGCTTTGAGCCGCGAAAATGGCTGGAGGCGCTTTTTTTTTAGGAGGGTGTGGATTCGATCGACAAGAATCGACCGAAAAATAAAAACGTGAATCGATCGACACCGATTCGATGGACAAATTATTAAACAAGCGGTGTCGATTCGATCGACATGAATCGATCGGAAAAAACCGTGAATCGATCAGAAAAAAACGTGAATCGATCAGAAAAAAACGTGAATCGATCGGAAAAAAACGTGAATCGATCGGAAAAAAACGTGAATCGATCGACGAGAAATGATTGACAATTAATTAAAAAAAAAAACCGGTATCAAGTCAATCGACATGAATCGATCGAAAAACCAAAACGTGAACCGATCGACGTAATTCGATCGACTCACAGGTTTGTCGATCGATTCATGGCTTTTGTCGATCGATTCACGGCTTTCGTCGAACGATTCACGGATTTTGTCGATCAATTCACGGCTTTTGTGTTCGATTCGCGGGTTTGTCGAACTGAACACATTCGAAAATATGTAGGAAAAGCAGCGGACTGAGCGGAATTTGTCGGTGTCTCCGCTCCAATCTGTTGGCGACAGATCGGAGCGTCCTCCATCGGCGTTTTCCGCAGCGTCTCTCCGCCGCTAAGGTGCCGTCTCCGCGCAAAATCATTAGACAGATTTATCGGCGTCTCTCCGCGGCGTCCAGGACGCCGCGGACAGACGCGCCTCAAGTTGCGTAGCTTAAAGCATCCGCGACACCTCTGGAAGTGTTCGCGACACCTGTGGAAGCGTCCACGACAACTTTAAGGCGTCCGCGACGCCTTCTTAAGCGTCCACGACACCTCTGGATGTGTCCGCGACGCCTGTGGAAGCGTCCGCGACAAGTTTTAGGCGTCCGCGACGCCTGTGGGAGTGTCCGCGACACCGCTTGAAGTGTCCGCGACGCCTTTTGAAGTGTCCACGACGCCTCCTTTAGCGTCCGCGACGCCTCCTTTAGCGTCCGCGACACCTCCGGAAGTGAACTATTTCTATATATATATATAGAGTCGCTTTATAACGCACTCTGGCGTTCTACGACACCCAAACGCCACATATGCCTGTCTTCCCAGAGGTTATCGGGCAACTGACACCGCAACATCTCTTCGTCAACGCCCTGCCGCCAACCCTTTACGGGACGTCCCCGTCGCCTCTTCCCAGGTGGTACCCAATCCAAAACTTGTTTGGGCAACCTCTCCTCCGACATTCTTTGCACATGTCCATACCAGCATAACTGCCTGGACATGACGTCGTGCACGATATCTTTCTCAACCTTCATCACCTGGCGAATTCTCTCATTACGGACACGGTCCCGTCTCGAAATGCCGGCAGATCGCCGCCAAAAATCCATTTCAGTTGCCCTCAACATTTCTTGCGTTCTTTTCGTCAAAGGCCACACTTCACTACCATAGAGCACGATACTTTTAACGATGGCGTCATATATCCGGTGCTTGTTTGCCTTTGAGATGCTCTGATCCCAGAGCACCCCGTTCAGCATCGCGATGGCTCTCCTGCCCTGGATGATCCTGTCCTTAATTGCTCTATCCATCCTTCCATCCTGATCGAGCCAGACACCGAGATACTTATACTCGTCACACTCTTCGATGCGCCGTCCATCCTCAAGCTCTATGCTTTGCCGTTGATGCGCTGCTCCCACGACCAGCTTCTCTGTCTTGGACACACTAACGTCCATGCCCCATTTCCGATATTCTTCGACCAACTTCCGCGTCATGTAATCTGCATCTTCCTCATCTTGAGCTACAACGATCTGGTCATCGGCAAAGCATAGAGTATAAAGGGTCTGCCCATCAAGGAGTGGAACGCCCATTCCTGCAACCTTCTTTTTCCATTCCTCTAACACGTGCTCTAGGTATACCTTAAATAGTGTTGGTGACAAACAACAGCCTTGTTTCAGCCCTTTTGTGACGAAAAAACCTCCGGACAACTCTCCACGACATTTAATTCTTGCTATCGTCCCGTTATAAAATGATTTAATTGCCCCCACAAGTCCTTTGCTAAAACCCCTTTTTTCCAAGGCTTCCCAAAGCTTCACTAACGGCACGCTGTCATAAGCTTTCTGAAGATCCACAAACACCAAGTGCAGCTCCTGGCTGACCGCCCTTTTCTTCTCGATGACCTGGGTAATGGTGAACAAATGGTCGACGGTAGACCTACCGGCTCTAAAACCAGCCTGTTCTTCGGCTTCCTGGCCGCTCCAAACCTCTTCGACCTTTGCCTTGAGAATTTTACCGTAGACCTTGCTCAAGGTTCCTGTGACCGATATACCTCTGTAGTTGTCGCAATCTTGCTTACTACCTTTCTTATGACTGGGAGTAATCCAAGATTCCTTCCAATCCTTTGGTATTTCGGAACCATGCAAACAGTCTTGCATGAGTTTCCTCAGATGTTCAAATAGTTTACCGGTGCCACATTTTATCAACTCCGCCGGTATACCCCCAGGTCCAGGAGCTCTGCGAGTTTTCAACTCCCTCACAGCCTTCACTACATCTTGGAGCTGGATCTCCACGTTGGAATCTTCTTTAGTGCTTATGACTCCGCCTTGAAACTCGGGTCGCCTCTCCGTTAATAAATCTTTAAAATAGTCCTCCATCTTGTCAATTGGTATCGGAGATATGATGTCGCGCATTTTATTTCGTCGCAACCCTTTGATCACTTTCCAGCCTTCCGTACTTTTCCGGCCTCCAAGGTAGGTATTTATCTTCATACAGCTTTCTTCCCAAGCCTCATTCTTCTTCCGAGTGATGACCCGACGGACCCTTGCTTGAGCCTGTTTGTACATGATTTTATCATCCAACTTTTGAGAAGAGAGAAACTGATGATACCTATTCCTTTTCACATTTATTTCCTCCTCTACCTCCGCATCCCACCAGTACGGTTTTCTGTTATCATTTTTTTGATCAGAAACCCCCAGGGCCTCCGCTGCCGCCGAGTGAACGCAATTCTTGATAAACTCATACCGCTCTTCCGTACTGCCATCGCACGCATCTCCTAACTTTTCATCCAGGCGCTTTGCGTACAGAGCCTTGACACTCGGGTGCTTTAGGCTATCGATGTTATACTGAACTTGATGTACGCGTTGTCGCTCCGGTTGTTGATTGTCGCCTTGATCGTTCTGCGACACACGAGCGGGAAAGGCTACATCCGCTCTGAGGAAATAGTGGTCACTACCGCAGGAGAGTCCTCTACATACTCTCACCTGCTGGATCTTCAGGTTTGTTACCTGTTTAACGAGCACGTAGTCAATGATGGATCTTAAGCCGCGGGTAGGTTGGACCCAAGTATATTTGTGAATATCCTTGTGTTGGTAGAACCCGTTCAATACTTTTAATTCCCTCTGCTCGCAAACGTCGATAATGCGGCTTCCGTTGTCGTTCACCGTAACTTCACCGAACGGGCCGACGATTTTACTGTTCACCCGGGATCCCGTTCTTCCATTTAGATCTCCCAACACAAGGACTTCTCTCCCAGGTCCTACCTTCACTACCTCCTCGTCCAGTTCTTCAAAAAACTGATCCTTAAGTGCAATGGTAGCATCATCATTGACCCCGTATACTCCCAAAACAGTGACTCTGTGACCGTGCAATGTTAGGTTCATCTTAATCATGCGAGCGTTGATGGCCTCCCAGTTCTTAATATTTTTTCGAAATTTTTTGCGGATCAGAATTGCGACACCCTGTTGTGCACGCTGATGTTTCGGCACTCCACTGTAGAATAAATCATAGTCCCCAAGGCTCTCTGATCCGTGGCCTTTTTTCTTCGTTTCCGTTATTACCGCCACGTCGATCCCGTTGTTCTTTATCTCCGATACCACTTCCGTCAGTTTCTTGGAAATGCCTTGCACATTCCAAGTACCAAAAGCGAGTGTCGTTTTCCGTAATCTAAGTCGAAGAGTCCGTTTGTTTCCATGATTACCGAGGCATATGTTATTGGGTTTTTTGACATTGTACATTTTTTCCAAGGATCGGGGAGTCAGCCCGATGCCCCAACCCCCAACCTGGAGGACCAGGGTTTGATTTCGGAGTTTCCTCTCCTAGACAGGTTGCTTCCACCACAGCTAAGAGCCCTGTCTACCCACCCCCTTTGAGGCAGGGGCTACCAGCTGGGGTCCGCAGGATTGCTAAACCTGTGACAGTATAGTCCCCCATACGACCAACTATTTATTTCTTCCTCTATTTATTTAATTCCCGAAGTTGCAAATGTCTATAAAGTTTGTTTAAGTAAGCAAAGATCAAGTTGATGCAATATTGGAAGAAAGAAAAGAATCTTTTTTACGAGAGTCTCCGTTGACACCATGACACCCAAAGACCGCAGAAAGGTTTTATTCTTGAATTGTAATCCATCGCTTTGAAGGGTGGAAAACATCGTACAGACTGAAAGCAAATCTTGGTAAAAGGTCATGAAAAGTCAGGGAGAAAGAAAATTCAATAGGTCAGGGAAAACCTTGAAAGTCAGGGAGAATGAAAAGAAAAATTTGCTAGACACCCTGCCTAAGTTTTTCCACGGATTTTGCTGCTTTGAATTCCCGAGCCTGGATTCATATTAATAAGAGGCATTGCCATCAGGTTAAAAATAATTAAATGCACAAAATGGGTGGGGGTAGAGGGAAGGGGTAAGGGTAAGATTACTTGAAAGGGGGAGGCAGGAGGCTCAATAACGATGAAAGCTAGACAGGAAGGATCTGCTGAAAAGGTTGTGAGGGAGTAGAATGGAAACCGTTAGCAAAATAAACCAAGTGGAGGGGAGGAAATAGGGTGGGGCAAAGGAGGATGGTCGGAGGATGAGGACGGATTTTAATTGAAATTAGTTAACTAACTTCAAATATAAATGAAAGAAAAACTCGCATTTAAAAATTGGAGTGGATGCAGAGCGAGGAATTTTAGCAGTGAATCGCGGAGCACAACGATCGGAGAAACAGTGCTGCCAATTTTTAAGACAATACTTTTGTTAAGCTTGCACCTGAATTTTTATTCCTAAGGAGAATACTCACAATTTACCGATTGACGTGAGTTACGTTTGATGCTCCGCAGCCCGTGACAAGATATACATTAATAACAATTTAAACAGCGGGTAACAAGGATAATTTTCACATAAATAGGTAGGTACTACCAAAACATTTTGGCTGAAAACTCAGTTTCCATCAGTTGGATAGGAACAGTAAAACATTTGAAAAATCTAATTGTTCTCATGGTGAATAAACATGTATACATGCATTATAATGTGGCGTTATCATTTTTTCAAAATTTTCTGAAGAGGTAGGGTCTTCGGAGACCCCTGAGAACTGAGATATAGAGAGCACCTATGCTTAAAAAACTACCAAAATAGTCTCTTTTTTACAAGCAAAACTATGCATAAGGGACCGTTCTTAAAATAAACGTATAACGCTGAATTTCGAATTTTTTGACCCGCCCAACCTCTCTCGAAAATTTTGTGCGGCGTAGGTCGCTATCCTTTCATACGCAAAAACGAAATGCCATAACAGTCTCCTCGATTCCTTCCTCCCTCCAAGAGCGTTGTACATATTTTATGTTGAGGATAATCGCTCAGATGATGATGATCCTACACCCAAAAAAATGTGAAGTTGATTTAACATTCTATGTGTAAAAAAAGTGTGCGAGAACTTACAAAATGCTAAATTGCCAGCCAAAGCAATTAATTTTACATATTGCCATTGCTACAGTAACGGATGTAGAAGGTAATTCAGCATTGTATGAGTGCTCGCACACTTTTTACGCATCCAGAATGTTAAATCAAGTATTCACTTTTTTTTCGGTGAGCGATTTCACGGCGAAAAATTTGTAAAAAAATCGCAACTTAAGGTGATTCGATGGACGCCATATTTTGTGTCAGAATGGCATGCGATATATTACCAATTTTAACAAAGAAATTCAACGTAATAAAGGCGTGTTTTTTTTAGAGAGAAAATATCGCATTCGAGTGCAGTTTCGATATCAGTATCGAATGCGATGTTTTCTCTCTAAAAAAAACCACGCCTTTATTACGTTGAATTTCTTTGTTAAAATTGGTAAGTGAGTGCTTTAGTCTCCTGACAACAGGATTGCGATCTCAAAATTGGAGAAAAATGACGAGTAGCTGAAAAAATGGAACCAATTTATGCGATATATCGCATGCCGTTCTGACACAAAATATGGTGTCCATCGAATCACCTTAATTTCAAAATATAGTAATTTTTCTGTTGAAAAATGCTACTTGGGCTCCGCTTAGAGTGGCAACAGCCCCGATGTTTACTCTCGCCGGAAAAACCAGGTGGGGGATGCTCAGCGCGGAGGGTTTTCCGAGCGTGCAACGGTAACAGTCGATGAATAGGGCTCGATTCACGGGCGCGCTTTAAAAGTTGGCTCCGAGGAGAGGGAAAAGTTATTATTCACATAATGAGGTATGTAATCGCATGGAAAAGGGGCGCCTCTTCTCAGTAATGGTTTCCGGTTGGTCGGAGCCCAGAACGCTGCCTCTCCGGCGGACCAATCAAAATCCACAGCTCCGCACTCGACCGCGTTGCGCGCGATGTTGAAGACTTCCCGATAACCCATCGTTTCCCCTCTGACAATAAGCCAGATTTTCACCCCTCCTATTTATTATCTATCTTTATATCTTATTTTATTATATTTGGATTGCGATTTGCAAAAAGGAGCCAAGAGCATTTCAATGTCGCTAAGATGGTACAACGATTTTACCTTGCACACATAAACTGCACTGGAAAAAAAAAACACATTGGATCTAGAGTAGAGACTCTTAAAAACATCGACAAGAAAAAATACTCTTGATTCGATCAGATTTTAGCTTAATAAATCAAGAACCAAGCCTCTTAATTTGAGCGAATTTAATTTTGATTTAAGCTTAAATCTGATTGAATCAAGAGTCCTTTTTCTTGTCAATGTTTTCAAGAGTCTGGACTCTGGATCCAATGTGTTTTTTTTCCAATGTGTTCATCAAAACAAGTTTTAACTTTATTCCCGATAAACTAAAAGTTTAAGACGAAAATTACCGTCGTAAATATACAATCTTTAAATTTGTTGCATGATATCAGTAATTTCATCGCAAAGAATGCAAATTGCACAATCATAACAACATTGGAATGCTCTTGATTCATTTTGCGAAATGCAATCTATTTCAGTGTTCAAGAAAAGTTATTTTTCTGCTTTGGTTTTGGAATCATAACAATTTATTATTTTTTTTTTTTTTTTTTTTTTTTTTTTTTTTTTTTTTTTTTTTTTTTTTTTGCATGTTCTTATTACAAATGAATTTTGAGTACCTCAGTGATAGATAATTATTTTCTCTTGGATCTTGGATTTTTTTTTTTGCGGGGCAAAGCATCATTTTAGATGTTTTTATTAATATGCAAGAAGCTATTGCATTATTGAAAATATGAAAAAACACAAGTAATATGTAGTAAATTAAAGCTTTAACTATTTAAAATCGCGCTGACCGAGCGCTCATATAATACCTATGTATTGGAACTTTCCCGCTTGTTTTACATTTCAATGATTTAAAATGTAACTTGCCTCGGATTGTCTGAGCTTGAGGGCGAGTAATCATTGAGACGAATTTCTACGGTGTCCAGCAAAACGAAAAACATATTTNGTACCTCAGTGATAGATAATTATTTTCTCTTGGATCTTGGATTTTTTTTTTTTGCGGGGCAAAGCATCATTTTAGATGTTTTTATTAATATGCAAGAAGCTATTGCATTATTGAAAATATGAAAAAACACAAGTAATACAGTAAATTAAAGCTTTAACTATTTAAAATCGCGCTGACCGAGCGCTCATATAATACCTATGTATTGGAACTTTCCCGCTTGTTTTACATTTCAATGATTTAAAATGTAACTTGCCTCGGATTGTCTGAGCTTGAGGGCGAGTAATCATTGAGACGAATTTCTACGGTGTCCAGCAAAACGAAAAACATATTTTCTTAAAAGGTTTGCAATTTTTTTTTTTTATTTAATTCTCATTTTTTATTTTTTTAGGGATTCTTAAGTGATCAGATTTTAGTATGGATTCCGTGCGTAAAATGTTAGCAAAGAACCATTTTTGTGAGATTTTTTCTATGATATTTATTACTTTAGAGACGACCAGTCCTAGCGTTCATGGCTAGCTTTCAGGTCAACAAGTTTTGAAACTTAAAAAAAGTGTAGACTCTTCAGGTGCTAAGTGTAGATTTTTTTAAAATAATAGTGAAATTGGAGAGTTAAATTATTTTTATAAAACCACTTGTTATTAAATAAAGTTCATATAAGAGACTAGCCGTTGAAGCCGCTCGAACCGCCTTCTCCGTGGCTAGCCTAACCAGTGGCCTGGCGTGCTTTGCGATCCATCGATATTTCCCCATTTAAAGCTGTGGTAAATAATCGATTATCAAGGTGCTCACTGCGAACACCCTGTTTATCGATACTTTTCCATAAGTTTAAATGGCCGATCAATCGATATATCGCAAAGCAAGCCACGCCACTGAGCCTAACCTTTTGGGCTCTCATAATTCGTTCGGCGAAAAATGGCTCTCTGTATACGAGCTACACTATCTTTAGATAAAGGCCTACACACGGCGATTAATCGCCGTGAGTGAAAGACGGAAGGCAATGGAGAGCCTTGATTTCGATGTATCGACGTCAATGGATCGAAATCAAGGCTTTCTATTGGCTTCCGTCTTTCTTTCGCGGCGATTAATCGCCGTGAGTATCTAGGCCTTTACGCATCACTCAGAGAGAATTTTTTCTTGTCCCTACTACTGGGGGATGCCACATCTAAGATGCGTTCCCTCGACTCTCTTAGAGGTGGAAAAAAATTGTCGCAGAGGAAATGGACATTTTTTGGACGGAAAAATCAAGAAAAACAGGTTGAAACTATTCAAGGGAGGTTAAAAATCTATGAAGTTTAGGAAGTCTTTAAACTTGACTCTCGAAGAACCCCATGCTATTTAACCATGAAAAAATCAATGGAAGCGGAAAAATAACTAAAATTTGCTATACTTAATTTCTGAAGCGCAACCTCAGGAGATTTTTCACGACTATCCCCTGACTCGATTTTGTTATAATTTTAGGCGAGTGATACTAAGAAAATATTTTAACATTATTTGTTCTTCAAAACTATATTTTGGGATTTTTAGGGACTATGAATTGCATTATTCAAGTAAACTCACGACATTTGATGAAATGTATTAAGGGTGATCTAAAAGTCCCGTTCCACCTCCTTTAAATCTTTACCAGATTGATTTCTTGAAGATCGAAGAAAATTAAAATTTCATCTTCGTATCATTCACACAAAATTATATCCATATGTCGTGTCGTGTCAGACGAGAATTAGTAAAGTTCTTTTACGCTCAAGAAATTCACTGCCGCAAATTTAAACTTTCCCGCTTAAATTTGAAAATAGCGGCAACAAAAATCATCGCGCTTTTGATATTTAGCGGGAACTGGCGCCATTGGTCGGTTCATTCTGGCCTTTGATTCTGGCGCGAAGAAAAACCAAACAAATATAACAACATAACCTCAATCTAAAGTATCACTTTTTGATTTTTTGTTTTGTTCTTTACTCACTGGCCAAAGTCCATTTGTAATTGATTTAGATCCTCTATTTATTTTAAGATATATTTTATGAAAATCATGGAGGTTGACCGACACGATGTAAATGAAGAAATCCAGCCACTGCCCCGCAAATGTGGTAGAAAATCCAGCTTCTTTCGCAAGTCCTTCAGTGCCTGTGAGTCTTTCATTCATGTATCACTTATCGTCATTATATCCTCTTGTCCTGCAAATCCTTGTCTTATGATGAATTTGCATTTACACAAGACTTACTCTCTCCAGTTTGATGTATAGTATTTTAACATGGGGTTTTTCACACACTTTTTAAAGATCAGTGATCACAGGGTTTGATACCTGTCAAGTTAGCCGTGGTTTTAATACCCTTGGGAGTATGGACTGTATGTACTTATATCTGACTTGTGGGATCCACATGCCCCTCCATCAATGCAGTTTAATATGCAGATTGCTCCTGAAATTAGGTGAGATAGGTTGTATCCAAGATCGACTAATAATCGTTTTTTATGATCTTTATCTTATAAGACGTAATCCGATAACTGACAGTCAGTTCGCCGTTTCTCTTTCTACTTTTGTCATCGGCTAGTAAGTTATCAACAGAACATGGCTTCGAAGCAACCATGGCTGTGTGTCATTAACAGGCTAGACTGATTATGCTGTTTGATTAGATATTCACAATCAGCGAATGTTTTACTCAGCCATCAAATGTCTATCTGGAGAATATAGACCTTTTTTCACTGTGAGGGGTGTATCTCAAGCAAGCTCCCCATCAGTACCTCCATCTAAAAATTTGAAGAGACAGAGTAAATGCATGGATCCAATGGTAATACTTGTTGCTTTATAATGCATTCACTACATAAAGCTTTTGCTACAGCAATTTTCACAGAATCTTCTTTACATAGAGAAGAAAAATCATAGAAGTTTGAAAAAATGATGCTTTGTAGCTTCCCCTGTCGAAATTAAAGTGTGGCAGGAAGTTTCCTAGGCCGCAAATGGAGATGCGTATATCTGCAGTTTCATCACCATATCTGCACTCATCCAAAATTTAAATTGGTATGAGGGTTTTTTTATTACTTGTGTGATATTTTCCACACCACCAATTAAACTAATTGTTAGTTACTATTTAGTTTTAAATTTCACCTTTTCTTTTTTACATTCATTTTTTTTAAGTTTCTGATTTTACATATATTTTGTAACAGATGCAGAATCCTGCAACCAAACAACGTCTGTGAGATCGACAATTTTCTCTGCCAATGAAAGTACTGAAGAAACAGATGACAGGTAATTGTGGCATTCGTAGAATTCTTACTTTTGAAACTCCATCCAACTAATGAGAATACATTCTGTGCAACCTAGAGTTAATTCATTTCAAGCTGTCAATTTATTTAAAAGGTGTTATGGTTGAATAAACGGCTATCTATAAATTTCGAGGCACCTCTCATTAATTTTGAGAGAAACTCGACCCAGGGCATAATGTATGAGGAATTCAAACATATGAGCTAATTTTTTCCATCTTAATAAGGAAGCTTCGGTAAAATTCATTTGTATCATATGCTCCCATTGAAGTTTCTTAACTCAATGGCTTCTAATTTTTTCTTATGGCATATCCTACATTTAAGACTTGTAAGCATTTTTTGGTGCAAATTTGTTAATTCCAAATTAAAATTTATTGCAGCGCATTTATCTAATTCATGGCTAAGTACATTCAATTTCTCATGACTTCAGTATCCTACCAACAAGTTGAATTTAATATTGAAGTTGGCAGTGCTGATCTCACGCTGTGTCCTAAGATTTGAAACACAGAGTCTCAAAACTAGATGTTGAAATACAATACAAATATAAATAGTCATAAGAGAAACCTCTTCGGAATTTTTTCAGTAGTTAAATTGTACATTCCACTCAGTAAGTAAATCCCTCTTATGAAATAGTGGCATAGCCTAATGTGTTTTACATTTTCTAAGGTTGTGTGTCTTGCTAAGGGCAATTATTGGCTTTCTCAAGTTATCATGCACCCAACGAGTCAATCAGAATAGGAATAAGTTGGGAAAGATGCTTTTTTAAGGTTTCAGATTTTATTCTCTTATCATTCCTCTCTGTATTTCAGTTCTACGGCTTCAATGTCATGATTATTTCTTTATTGTTTTTCTTTTTATCTTTCAGACTTATTGCACTTCTGAAGGAACAGAAAAAACAAAATAAAGTAACCCTCGAGGAATTGAAGGATGCCTGTATTCTAGCGAAGTATGTATTTTTCCAGTGACCTAAATAAACTTATTTGACTTACACTGTCTTATGAGGTGAAGATGGTAGATGTGGTTTAATGAGCTCTTAAAACAAACCATCATCTTTCAAACTCGATTTTATAGAGCTTTCAAGTAAGTGTATGTTTGAAGGAAATGAACAATTAAGTTCTTCTTTGATTTCAGACCTGGGCCAAAGACACTGTACTTAAGTACAGAGCACCAATCATGGGTGTTTGTTTATAAATATACATGCCTGTTTACTTATTTTTGTTTGTCATTGTACGTCATTTTCGACCTCCATGATCTGACGCACTTTATCATTGCAAACAGTTTTTAAGATCATTGTATTATTTGTTCCAGGGCACAGAGCTTTCAAGATTCCTTTGATTTTGAGAAGGAATTCGAGGCAGGAATGTGTGATAAGGATGCTTTGAAATGGAAAGAAAATTTGGAATTCATCAATGCAGCTCCTGATTATAAAGGACTTTTTGCAAAGTTCGAGTCACTTAAAGAAAAAATTGCCCTCGAGACACGACTTGATGCTATGCTGAAGGAAGCAGCCGCCAACTTTGCCCATGCTGCTCAAAACAAAATTCAAAATTCAGTTGGCAATGTTATCCAAAAACTTGCAGAAGAAAGATTAACAATGGCTGATATCCTGACTCCTGATTTAAACATCGATTCTGATGGCATTATGATACCTTCATTTCTAAATACTTCAAACAGTCAAATAGATGAAAAAGAGAACTGTATGTCCTAATGACTGTTCAAAATGTTTTATTGTTATGTATGTAATATAAATATTTTATTAATTAACTCTTTCAATGCCACAGGTAAGTTAGCTTGTCCACTGCGGTGAGCACAATGAACCGCAGAGGGGTTAACTTGTTTTCAAGTCAAGTGCACCTTAAGACCTCCCCATCTTAGCGGAATGATGAAATAAAGAATGCAGGTCAACCCCTCATAAACCTAGCTGCTCATCCAATTGTTTCCCGGAACCGTCTCTTTTCATGGTGTGAATTGTGTACCATTTTTTATTTTCACCTAGGTTACGGAGTGAGCACAACAAATCTTACTGTGGTATTGAAAGGGAAAAGTAAAGTGAACAATTGTCGAAATATTAATATTTAAAATGGGTACATTGTAAAATTATCATGTTCACCAATTTCGTAATGTAACATATTTAGAGTTTTTGTAATAAACTTTCAAAATTTTGCGGATGTTTTTTTTATTTTATCAATCTTATCACTAATGATGGAAGTATGTAACTTAACACGCATTTTGTCTTCATTGTGACCGTTCCGTAGCTAGCCAACAATAGAATAAAAAAAATCAATACGCATAGACCAAGGCTACTGAGATGAATAATCCTTGAACTGAACATAACACTGATTTAGGGAACTGAATTTCAGTACAATCTCTTAGGTTGTTCATTTTTACCAGGGTTCATATTTATATTTTTCATGGAAAAAGTTACATTTTCCCCCCCTGATGTCCTGGTTAAAAACAAAACATCACAACCAGGACATCAGGGGAAAAGGGTAACTTTTTCCATAAAAATTATAACTTTCAGTACGATCAATCATTCACTCAGTAGAGACCAGTGTTCTGTCTTCACCACAAAATTTTAGGAGCCACCTCGGCCAGAAAATCCAATTTCCAGGAGCCAAATTAACTTTTTGCATATGCATAATAGTGCATGAAATGTGCCCAGTAAACCATGCGTATAGATTGTAACACTAGTTTGCAACTGCAAATTTGAAAAAATCAACAGCATGTGTCAACTTTTTCAGGTGTCGTGATGGCCAGGCCCTCCAATTTTTAGACGCATTCAGCGCAGGGCCTCAGGGAAGGAAGAACACTGATGAAAATAATCATTGTTTGTTGAACACTTCAAAGCACCTATCAGGATGAAAAATCCCTGTGCTAATGTGGAACAAAAACCTCCTTGAAAGGAATAGGTTAAGAAATCAAGCATAAATTCTAGTGTAACAACAGAATATAAAATCTTTAATAATTGCGTACAACAAATTATTGAGATAAAAAAGTAGGTGGTATGTACTTACAAATTACAAACATAAGCACTAAAGATAAAATACTGCAAAAATTTTGGCAAACACTAGGATTCTGGCACCAAAGGCTCCATCAGAGATTTGATGAAAGAATTTCCATTAATGATTTTAGTGGTTGCGATGATGAATTCCACATTTGCTGAAAAAATGAAATAAAATAGATTACCATTCAGTTAAATAAAGGACTACGGAGTTGGAAGAAAGATGGAGAACTGAGGACTGTGCTTTTTTTGACATGGGCTGCAAAAACCAGGATTTTAAATTTTCTTTTTGTGACAAATGGAAAGTTTTTGAGACCTAGGTATCCCCTCCAATAATTCGAATAGAGGAACAATGAGTTGTAACGCACCAAAAGGCCTCAGGTGCAATCTACATGAGTTAGCTCACCAAATTCCATTCTTAATGTCAATTTATAAACATTTATATTCTTGTTGAATTTCAAGAATTAGACAGCTCGAAAGTAGACTTTGAGTTTTCTACGACTTCAATTTTTAATTGAGGTACAATGAGCATTTTTCTGTAAAACGTTACCTATGTAAAATTGGCCACATTTATATTCGAAAATTTTTAAATTCGAAACTAATTACCTAGTTCCTCAATTGTGTTGACAATTTTGGTCAAGAGCAAGTTATCCAACCAGGTAAGGACCGGTTATTTGGGCAAGAATTTAATAATATGTGTGTTGTTTTTTTTTTTTTTCTAAAATGATTATGTTTTCCATTTATGATAAAAAATTGACCAAGCTTATGCTTCATGATTACAAATAGCCTGAAACAGCATCTGATCAGTCCTTCTATGTTAGTTCCGATAATGCAACTTTTTCCATATCGAATGCAGCTCTCACCAAAAATTGCTTTATAGTCAGGGCATTACTGTGCTTTCAAAGTGGACTCATTGCAGCTGTGCTTGCACCTATACTAAAGACCTTCAGCAATTGATTTTCAGTCACTGCAGGTACATCTAAAGGGACAAATTGAAAGTACTCACATTCTTCTTGTTGAGAAAGAAATCTTAGTGCGGAAATTTCAGCATAAGTACAGCCTCCAAGAAAGAAGACTAAAACAACTTTTGGTGCATCATTCTGAGATGTGATATTGTTTCCTGGAACACAAAAACAAGAGTAAACAGTTAGTGCATCAGCCACTTTCCCTCACATCTTGGTGTCATATAAATCCAAGAGCAATAATACACATAACTACTATTCTCAGTTCACTTGCAAGAAAACCTTAGAAAATCAGACCCAAATATTTCTCTAGCCTAGTGAGATTCCTTACTTGAGGGGCTTGGAGGACATGGCGCGTAAGTGCAATTTTTGCTAGTTTGAGAAATACGTGTTTGAAGTTTCGAAATTACACGGATCCTTATGGCAGAAAGGAAGTTCAAACTGACTTTATGATGCTTAAAAATTGAAATTCGGGAGGGAATTATTAACAGAATATGCATCAGACTAGTTTTACTTGAGAACATTAATACCTCAATTTTTTCAAAAACTGCGCTTATGCGCCTTGTCCCCCAAGCCCCTCATTCTCCATAGTATATAAAACTAATCAATTAATGTTACGTAAATTTTGTAGGATAAAAGTAACTTTTTTACCTTTGTAAAAATTACTACAAATTGTGGTAAAATATAAATGTCACTAATAAGTTCACATACTATGACACACTGACAGACTAGAAGTCTTTTGTCATAAAATTACAGTGATAGTGACTTACTTTGGGATAATTGAGAAGGCGGAATGTTCTGATGGTGATCTACAACTGGCCCTGATAGTAACTGCAGAGAATCTTGCAAATTTGCCCATCCGTTAGGTTTGGTTGCATGCTGTGCAAGTCTTACAGAAAGTGGTGCATATATACTATGAACGTAGTTGATATCAGTTGGATTAATTTCATCGCAGTCTTCAATGGTTAGCCGCAATGTTTTTCGAACCACCTGCAAAGGAAACCAGTACCGCATATATTTAAATTACTTGCTGATTTTGAGATTTTTATTTACTTTAGAACATGGAGTTTTAAACAAAACCTTGATTTTGGAGCTTATAATCTTTTGAAAAGTGGTAATGAACCGCTAGACAAGGTGAATATTAAAAACCAACAGGAATATGTATTTTCACGTCTGACATGTTAAAAAAGTAAACTTCAACAAATGGATACAAAATTAGTGATTATAGTTTAAATTAAAAGCAATAAATCTAAACTTTCCACTGACAAAAAAAAAACAACATAAACGTTACTTTTTTAACCAACATCCCCTAAAAACTGAAATTCTTAGTAGTGAGGGGAAAAGCTCATGCAGGCAAAAGTTTATTTGACAGGATTTGCTGTTTGGTGCAACAATAATTATGAACAACAAGGAATGCAAGTGCAAATGAAATTCGGGTCCTAATTGGTCAAAATTTAATTAGTGTTGCACCAAACAACGAATCTCTTCAAATAAAAGTTTGCTTGCATGAGCTTTTCTCCTCTCAACTAAGAATTTCAGTTTTAAACTGAATTTTAGAGGGTGTTGGTTAAATAATTAAAGGTGCCTACGTTAATGTTGGTTTCTTTTTTTTTTTTTGTCAGTGGGAAATTTAAATTTATCGATTTTAATTTAAACCATAAACACTAATTTAAGGACTAAACTAGGAGCAATATACTTCTTGTAGAATTCTTAGATATGATGAATTATTTGAAGATAATAAAGAGCCAATAATGAGGGCAATAAGCATGAAAATTCATGAATTTTTCAGCAGGGCTTAGCTCTGAGCATGCAATTGAGGTGCAAATTACCATGAACTGTCGTTGGCCAGACTGGACTTTGAGAAGACCACATTTTTCCAAATTCGTTAACGAGATGATATGTTCAAAGCCATACGTCTGAATAATTTCTCTCTTGTAAAAGTCGAGTATTTTAGGTTTTAGCCCAGAATTGGTGGCTGACTGCAAGCAGATAAGCCGCAGTACTTTGACTAGTGGCACTTTTTTAGCGATGCACTCTTCAATGCGAGGATTGATTTTGTCAGTGTCTACACCCAAAACCATATCCTGTTCGACCATCAGGGAGTCTAAAAATTCACTTGAGTCTGCTGTTTCCTTTATTAGTTCAGCTACAGTTGTGTCTGAAAAACAGAATTTTTTAAAATTAAGTTGAATTTTCCCGATAAAATGTTTGCAGTCCCTTGTATGAGTCTTTTTAAGCTCAGATGATGATTGCATGGTTAATTTTCATTGTTAAAAGTTTTAGTTCACTTGTAACTGAGCTTTGTTTGAACTGTCAGTTTCAAAAAAATATGAATTGGACACGATACACCACTGTAGAGAAACATTTGTTACTCTGTGCCTTTCTGCACAAATCTTGTTTATTCAATGATTGTGGTTTATCTTAATACATTTTATGCGGTATAAGTTAAATGAGGTACATGCAATTATCATGAGAAAGAGTAAAAAAATCACATGTTGAGCTGGAAATTAAAATTATCTTGAAATGTTTCAACAAATTATCAAAGAACAGAGACTCACGAATCGCCAGTGACTTCTTCGATGCTAACATTTTTGGTAACCGATCAACAAACTGTTTCATTTCTTGAACTGTTCTGTCTCCATGCCTTTCATCCAACTGCGAGGATATAAGTTTGGCTCTTCGATTCAAAGTTGAGCCTACAGCATTGAAATTTTTGTCCCTGAATGAACAATAAGGCCCAAGAATTAGTCTAAATTTAGTGAGAATAATCACATTTTCATCATGGTCAATAAATAGGAAACTTGTGTCATGTGTTTTGTACTTTCATCAATGAAGAGTACATTGATATAAAATATCAAATTTAGTCCAAAGAATCAAAATAAAAATGAAACTCGGTGAAACAAAAAATCAAATAGTTTCAAGGAAAAAAGGTTGGCAATAGCCAATTTTTGCAAGCTTGAAATAATTGGCCTTTGTGTAGGCAAAAATGGAATAATATGCTTCAGCATTGTGAAAGTTGTACGAAGCCCGAAGTTTTGTTGGAGTAAGGAATGGAGCAACAAATCATGTACATCAAAGACAAACTTCTATTGAGAGAGTGATCCATCGACCTTATCGCCTATTTGCTGACAGGGCGACAACCTAACACTCCGAGGCGTTGTTGCCACCATAACCGTGATGAGGTTCTAATACTAAACATCCAATGGGCCCATCTTACCAACATCAAATCTATTATATTTCAGATCAAATGATTAAAAAATATTTTCTTCTTTATAATGCTGGTTCATCTTTGTGGCAGTAAATAAAGTATCTACTTCTTTGACCAACAATGAGCTGTAAATGGTGAGTAAAGACATTAATTGTTAGTTCAAGAATCACGGGTGGTTAGAAATATTTAAAGAACTCAATGTAGATATATTGAAAAAATGAAGCTATAAACAGGTTCAGATTTGAATTTGGTTGCTCCATACATTTACGCCATCTGCATTACGTCATTAAATGGCGATACAATTTGAAATTTATGGAACAAGCCATGATTTTGTAAAGTATTTTACAAATTTAAGAATTGAAAACCTACCTCAGTTCGGCAAAAATGTCATCCGCTGAGTTTAAAATTATTTGCTTTTTTCCCGCAATGACATCCTTTTGATCTTCATTTGAGTGACTAAATTTTTCTGGTGGAAGGTGCACAGTGCCTAAATAACAATATAAGAAGATAAATTCAATTAACTGAATAAAGTAAATTGAAACTTATGAGGAAATAATTTCAAACAGAGACGGCTCATAAACAGTCTGTGAGAAACTTTTGTTGGAGTGAAAAAAAGTTGTTCTTCATAAAAGACAGCTCAAAAATCAAAAAAGAAAGAATTTTTGAAATCCACTTCTAACTCTGCAATCTGCGTTGGTCAATTATGTAGCCTCTCAACTCAGGAAGCATACTCTAGTAAACACATAATTTGATATAAATGAATCACCCTAGTTTCATGATTAAGTCAGTCATTCTCAAAAAGACTGAAGCTGTAAAAATGGAGGTACAAGAAAAACAGTAGAAACTGTATACTTTGACCCATTTTAAACCTTGGGATAAATAATATTGTGAACAATTGAGATTCAGAACGGGTAACTTAAACCGGTTTTTACTGTTTTTCTTGTAAACCTTTCATTGGCGATGCTAAAGTCTTTTTGAGAAAGACCGATTCAATTGCTAGCAAAACTCAAAATGGCCACTCTCATGGGTTGCAGTTTTTCAATTGCCTAAAAAAAAAAAAAAAAAATGGCAAATTCCATTCATCCAATGGCTTCACTTTATTATTATTAAAGCTGATGGAGAATTTTTTAAATAATTTTACAAATTCAGCGTACGGTTGGTTCTTTTTTCTGACAGCTAAAGTGAAGTTTCATGTGTAACTGACTGGATAAAATTTGACCTAATCCTTATTAAAATGCAAAAATAGACTTACAGCGATTGATTTGAAAAAGCTCGTCTATGAGTCCCTCATAGGTTAGCTGTGTCACAAGTGGTGAAACGAGGTCTATTGATCGATCTAAAAGCAGCAAATGGTCAATTTGGGAATGTGTTATGTGCTTTTTGGGTGTCCGTGGTTCCAGAGATAACCGTTTTAGAAGATCCCAAACATGCTTAGCTGCTAGACCTTTCCCTGAGACTCTTGGAATGACCCCATATAGGTCTTGAAGCATCATTATTGCTTGAGCCGCTTGATACATGTAAGAAGGATCACTTTCCAGATGAAGCTCCTAGAATACAGAAGTATGACGAAATAAATAAATAAAAGTAAAACTATCTTGTATCGTAAAACTAAAAGGATTATGCAGTTAAGTGAGAAAATTAGTTCGAGTTTTTAGTGAAACCCAGACCCAAGTTTGAAGTTATTAACAGAGGACCAGAAGATGAGGTAGTAAAGTCCCTGATAATGGTTTAGAAGTTTCTCAGTGTCGGTGGAAAATTTCTAGCCTTCTGGAAAAGTCATATTTACTGCTGTGGATACACATAGGGTATCTAAAGGTACCAGGACTGGCACAATTACTTCGAAAAGAATGCTTTTAGCAAGCTGGCTGTGACTTCATTCAGAAGAATAGCTCATTTTCTACTGACTAACAACATAATTGAGCTCATTGAGTAAGAAACTCTCAATTTTGGGATAGTTAAAAAAGGAAAAAAAAACGGGACCCCCGACTGTTTTCAGCTGGGTAAGATTTTTTCTTAGCTTGTAAAGCACCTCTCAAGAACACATTCTAAGAATTTGCAGGCTGAATAAAGGAGGGGTATTCGTTAGGGCCGTTTTTTGGTCCACCCAGAATTTCCTCAACTTTACGATCTTCTGCTCATTGAAGATCTATACTTTACAGAATGCAACATGACTTGGTCTCTTTTCAGATCTAGTATTAGCCTAAATGAGGGTCTCATCGGACTTCAGGCCCACATTTAAGCTGGTAACGGACCTGAAAAGAGATCAAATCTTGATGCATTCCATAAAATTTATACCTTCAATGAGCAAAAAATCAAAAGATAAGGAAATTCTGCAAGAGTGGGCTCAAAAACGGCACTCATTAATACCTACCCCTCCTTTGACAATACAGATCAGACTTAGAAATACTACCCAGGCAACAGCTGAATGCAACCGCAAGGAAAGAAATGATGCAGTAGTTACCAGAGAACTCAAGATTTGTGTATAAATGCTTGCCATTTAACAGATTTTCCACTGTGAATATTGTTTGTTTGAAAAATTAAGTGTTTTGTTGCCATCCCAAGTTAAGGGCATAAAGAAAGGGGACAAAGAAAGAACAGCACTTAGTAATTCAATGTGTGAGAGGTGTGGAACGCCGACAACGCCAGAAGCTTTAGATGAAATGAAAGGTGTGTACCAAGAGGAGCCTCCTGGTTGAATCATAATTTTTTGGTTACCTTTCTACCTGAGGAATTCTAAAAGACTGTTGGTTAGACAGAATGGGAGGCTCATAAAAAAATTATGTATAGAACTTACTTTAAAGGCAGAATCAAGCTCCATTGACAACAGATCATAGTCAAAGGGAAATATAGTGCATGCGAACTCCTCGATAAAAGTAAAATTTCCATAGACACCTCTATTCTTCAAGATTTGTTCGCAGAGCAAACTCCTATTGGGTACAAAAAATAAGTGGAATGTCGACATTTTGTGAGGACCGCTGGTTCTCTCCTCCCTGGAAATAAATATACAGACAAACGATTACTTGCAGAATTTTCCAGTTAAAATCATTCACAATCTTTTAAAAAAGTACAGTACATTTAGAGAATTTTTATCCTGACCGCAACAAAACAAGAAACAAAACAACCTTAACTGTTACTTTTATAGATATATTTCTATACAAAGATTTAGATTGATTGAACATTATCCAGATTAAATTGAGTGGATCTTCAATCAAAAAACTAACTCCCTCTTCAAATAGTGTAACATTGATTGGATGAACTTTACTTGAGCAATAATGCAAGGCAGTAATGAACCTGATGCCTCACAATAGCTAACAACAAATATAAAATTTACAAGCAAAACCTTCGGAAGTATTCCACACTGACAAATGATTTGTTTCCAGAACTTGAAGCGTAAAAAGTCATTACCCATGGATGTTGTCTGCGATCATATCCATTAAATTCACTTGGGGTCGGGTGATGAATATGATATTTTTATAAACAGTTAAAGGGTTCTGTCCGATGGGGAGACGGCCCCGACGAAGCGGAAACATTTTGACTACATCTTGATCTCGAAGAAGACTGAACATTGCAATTGATCCGATGGCATCTGCTAGGGGCTCGTCCCAAACTATTGCCTGAAAGAAGTAGTGCAACAAATTTAAATACTGCACTGTTGGCTGATTAAGCACAAAAGAACTATTGAGTAAAGAAAGCAGAGGTAGAAAAGCACCAAGCACAACATTGCTGATGAGGCTTCAAACCATCCAATCGATGGCCAACATTTCTTTATTTGCAAGGTTGAAGACTTCCTGTCATAAATTATTTTTTCTATGGAAAACTTTCTCAAAAGTTTTCATTTTTCTCCTCAGTTAGCAGAATATTCTGCACTAATTTGAAGCTACAAATTTGGCTTGTTTCTTTTCAATAAATTCAAATAGAGGTGGAAATTTTGAAACATCACAATGGAGATACCTACATGGTTTTGCACTTTCGCCATTACAATAATTCCTTTTAACTGTTCACCGTAAATTTTTTCAGTTTTGAAAATTCTTTTACTCGTATAATCCACGCGGATGTACAGGGAGATTTTGATTAAAGAGGAGGGCAAAGGACAATCGACAGCTACAGAAATTCAATGATGCTGATTTATTGTCACAAGTTTTCTGGCAGGACTACGAACATTTCCTTTCTACCATTGAAAATTCGACAACTTAAATGTATATTTTAAAAATAAAGGGCGCATGAAAAATAGACCAGAGACCTCCTTGCCTGGGATACCACTCATGGTCTACATGAGTCTATAATCCAATGTTTTTTAACGAAAAAACACAAGGTACATCAAAATTTTAATTTATGTACTTCTATTTAGTTAGATAGACCAGAGATTAAAGGCACTTGTTTGCAAATTGAGTCGACAAGAGAGGTAGGACTAAAAATATGAATTCTTGGTCTCTTGGGGAGCAGAGGAATGTCAAATAGATACAATCAGATGACATACTGATATAGGGGTAGGTAATGCTGAAAAGGTCCTGAAAATTACTCCAGCTGCCGCACCTCAAACTATTCAGATCACAGAGGTCTAAAATTTTGAAAAGATATTTAGGTGGTATGAAGAACTAGAAACGCCACTCTCCACAAATTAGAGTTCTGGGGAACTCCTCCCATTTATGTACCACTTCAATTATGAGGAGAGTAATGAGAGGATACGCGAGGTAAGTAATGAGAGGATACGCTAAGTAAGCAGGAGGTAGGTACAATACAAGCCCTCTAGGAGCAACATGATCATTGCATATTGTGTTATACAGAATTAGCATGTTACCTTGGTGCCTACACATTTTTCTAGAAGTTGCAATAATTCTTTCCAGCTATTTTCTTGCACTTCTTGGATGTTGATTTTACCTCGCGAGAGGTATGACATCTTAGCAGGAAAAGAGGCAAAAGTTATGATTTAAATGAAGTTAAATTTTGAGCAAAGATACATTGTACAATCTGCGGGACACAAATTCACTATTCACTGGAACAATTGGGAAAAACAACTTTTAAATTTACGATTCTTGCACCATAACTGTGGGTAGCTGAGAATAGCAGTGAACAGTTTTGTGTTTTGTTTACATTTTTAATTGAGGTTAAGTTTTGGCCCTACTCTAAAGTTCCCTGTCCATCTGTTCCTGTTCCACCTTTCAAAACTTGTACTCCATTCCCAATTCCAATCATTCTGATTTTTTTGGAATAATGTTTTGGAATGTGTTCAGTTGTTTACTTCCACTAAACAAAATGTTTTTTTCTTGATAAGAATCTCTAATATTCAATAAGCTGTCCTCCTTGCTACTACCCAAATTAGGGCATTTTACATCAATTATATTTAGTGACAGTATGTAAGTTACCTCATCAGCAATCAAAGTATCCCAAGCAGGCTCCCGTGTGAAATATTGAAAGCACCATGGTATCCCTTGCTCTATCGCGGCACATGTTCAGAGATGTCTCCTACCTACCTTGTCTCACAAAGTTGACTGGTAAGATTCATATTATTCAAAGTTTTATCTAGGTATTCGATACTCGATGTCCATCAAGCAAACCATCTACACCTTTAGTCACAGACTCTAAGTACCAGTCTACCTTAAAACTCCTTTGAGTATTCAGACCCATACATGTAGAGGAAAATATGGCCTCACAGAAATAGGGGTGCAGAATTTGGAGAGAAAGGAATACCAACTGTTAGCAGGGGTGTCCTCTTGGTATCAACACAGTCTCACCGAAGTGGTTGCCTCTCTCCTGTCGTTAATGGACCTTTCAGTTTTCAAGTAAAATTCTTGATATAATGAGAAAAACAAACTTCAATGAAGTTGGTTAGGACACACCAAACTGCCAGCACTACTAGACAAAGTGAGCACCAGGAGCAGCCTGTACTCAAAACACAGTGTGAGGAATATTTCATTTTGACAATAAACCTTGCCCAGGGGTCATTCAGGCACGAAGGACTGCACCTAAGCTTATTAATGGGTTGTTAGCGTGACTTTGGAGTGTTGCTGATCAAAATAAGAGGTGCCTCTAAGTTCTGATCAACATTGATTGCAAGCACTTAGATACAGTGTTAAAAACATTTATCGATATTCTGTTCCTGCTGTTTGTTAATCGAAAAGTAGCTGTGCCTCTTGAAATTGATCGGCAACCCTCAATGGTCACATCAATGACTCATTTTGATAAAGGATACCAAGTTCTAAAGAGAGTGTGTCTTGAGGAGCTTTAACCTCTATTGGAGATACATTCAAACAACCATTGTAATAGGCGAAGGAGCAGGTATCAAAATCAGATAAAATGCGCTTCATAATGAGCACTTACTTACCTACTTGAACTACTCCTAAAGCAGAACATTTGGTGCTCTTTTTCTATCTTCCTTTCAATTTTGGATACCTTTACAGTGTCCAGGTCAGTAGTACAGACCTTAGGGAACTACAGTTAGATTTTGCAGATTTTTTGGGAGCATAGGTAGGTATAATTTTCACAAACTTAAATAACTTTCCTTATAATTTTAACATTCCAAGTCAGGGAGTATAGCTGTGATTGCCAATATTTAAGAAAAAATGAATCCATCAAAGCAACTGTTGAACTACTGACAATGGCTTCATTTTTATGTATTTTTTATTCTTTGTCAACTACTTGTCCTTATATTTCACTTTCTGCTCCTAGTTTCAGAATCCAATGTGAGATGTATGTCAGCTGTTCCCGGGCCCAAACCAGAAGGGCCAAAAACTGAACCAAATTCGCAGAATACTGATGACAGAAAACCTTTGATACCGGACAGATATCGTTTCAAGTATCCTGATCTATTACCGCTTCCTAAGATGGAGTGGAGGAATGCTATTCGTGAAAAGCTAGAGAGAAGGGATCAAATGGCTCGGAGAAGTCAGATTGACATCCCAGAGTTCTATGTTGGTAAGTTTTGACAGATTGAAGAAAATTACCTAAGAAACTAAATAATGTTTATCACTGAATCAAATTCTTCATACCTGTGTGTGACAAAATTAGTCGATAATACCTTAATCCACATTTCTCTACTCTAAATATACATGTATAGACAAAAAATAAAAAAAATAAAATAAAAAAAAAACCAAGTAGCCATCAAGACATCACATGTTCTGAGGTGGCACATTCCCATCAAGTTTAATGTGTGTAAATTTAAGATTGCTCTTCAAATTTTAGCTTTTCGGTCAGAAAGGCTCTCAAAATTTAGGAAGAAAGCAGAAAACTGGTTGCCTTTAAGTCATTTTAATTACCACAGTAAACTTATCATTTTTCATTGCTTTGCACCCATGCAGAATCACCACTCACAAGTCTATCCTTTTTACAGAATGGCTCATCACTTAGGTCTATGACTAGGCAACTTATCTGGAGAACATCAAGATTATCTGTTTGAGCCTGTTTTGTTTTGATTCAACAGATATAGGTACTTGAAAGATTGGAAGGAGCAAAGATCAATTCTAGTGTATTAATTTTTCTTTTTTTAAAAAAATTTTTCAGGCTCAGTCCTCGCTGTTTACCAAAATAACAGACACGCTGCTGATAAGAAACAAAAATTTGTTGGAATTTGCACTCAAAGAGATGGCTATGGTCTGCGGGCAAATTTTGTACTTCGGAATGTAATCGACCACATAGGTATGTTCTTTCATGGCAGGAGACTTTTTGTGAAAAAAAAAAGAGAAAAAAAGAAAAAAGCATAAGTTCCTCTTTTTTCGGGACACATGCATCAACTGAGTTATGGTCTTTGCAGAGTTGTCAAGTGTATCCATAGCTCTCTGTATATTTATTGTTTTTGGGAATCAAACAGTTTTTGTAAAAATGGTGAATAGGGGATGGGTGCGAAGACTGATAGAAAATCCCTCGTAAGCACGGGGTTTGTTGCAAAGTCTGATGTTCGAACTCAGAATAATGATTTCAACTATATTTTAAGTAATTCCCTAATATTATGAGGTAATCTCATTTTTCCTATCTCTTTAAAGTTATGGAAATTTCAGAAATTTTTCAAGCATGATGACTTGTGCCCATTCATATTTTTCTATACAATCAGATTTCTATAGTTTCAACTTTTTGAAAACCTTCCTGTTATCCGATGCACAAACATACAAGCAGTATGTGCACTAAACATTTTTTCTATGTCTTCATGACAGGTATGGAAATCAGATACCTCCTATATGACCCAACTATAGAGAAAATTGAAGTTTTGCGCTTAGAGAAAAGGTTGGATGAAAATTTATTATACCTGAAGGATGCTCCTCCAGAACACAGTACATTTCCTCTGGACATGGAGCCTGAATTCATTGCGGAAGATGAACCAGTACCCATCAACCCCGTGCAGGTACTCTTTTTAAATTTTAAGCTGCACCTTTTTTCTCCGATTTCAACGATCGAAAATCAGGGTGCGGGTTACCTGTGAAACTCACCGAAATTGCATACCCATCATGCACTTGACCGTGCCAGTGAAACAGACCACTGTGGGCGCGAGTGAGTCATGCGGGAATTTATTTTTTCATTTTTTTGACCCTCTCAAAATCTGGGTTGCGGGTTATCTGCGGGCGTACATGGTACGTGTGAGAATCATTTAATTTGATTTCAACGAACTCCTCTTCTATTTCTATGCACTGTCGAAGAATAAACCGATTTATTTGTTTGTTGTATTATTATTTGGGAATTAAAAATAAAGTGAGCATGCTGGCCGTAGAAAAGTTACAATAGGTTTTGAGAGCTTCAGGTTTTGTGCCTCAGTTTTAAGTGCTATCAGCAATGTTTAAAGATTAAAATTTTCAAGATCTTTTCTGAAGAACTAATGAAAATGAAAGAAATTTTCGCACACTGTGTATGGTTTTTAATCGGTAGATTTATTTTCAGAAACAGAGAGAACTTGTTCTCAATTTTAATTGGCAAAAAACTGGAACCACTACTTCCAAGATACCGAGTTGTGTGTTTCCAAAAGCGCACCAGAGTATTTGATCAAAAATATAATCACAATTTTTTTCCCCCTATACAGAGTGACGGTCTCTGACAAAATGTTCTTTTTTTATTTCAAGGTAAAACTGAAACCAAAACCATGGCGTATGAAATGGGAAAAGTGGGGCATGAAAGGAATTGCACCCGACTCCTTTTTTCCAGGACAATTAAAAGGCAAAATACCTTTAGTGAAGCCGTGGGATGAAATGGATTTAATGAAACAGTACAGGTAATTATTTTGAGTTTAGCCTATCTGCGTTTCTTTTTCCTTCCTTTCTTTTAAGAAAAGGAGAATGTAAATAAATAAATGTTTCTTCAAATTGCATACCTCTAGTGTAATCAAACTTAAACCAATACATATCATCATTAAGTCCAGTTAAACCTCCTGAAATTAACAAGTAAATTTATTGTCCATCCATGCCATGTGATACACAACTATCAATCTCTGGTATTAGTGTGTTTTATCACAGCAAGACTTTTCAGTCGTTCATTTACGTATCATATTGTTAAAAAAAGTTAACTTTTTTAATTGTTGAACACATTTCAACCTTCAGGAATACTCGACTTTAACATGGAAAACACTTCTAGAATACAAATTTACACACTAGTTCTCTAACCTGTGAACTGAACAAAAATGCAAACTTTACCGAAAATTACCGAAGTGTTTGTGGCTGGTGGCTTTAAAGTTCACCATCAGCAGCTCTTTGTAGTGAAACTCTTAATTTCAAAAATATTCTTTCTGAAAGAACAAGTTACGCTTATCAAAAATTTCCAAATGCAAATTTTGCACTGTTTGTATTGTACATTTTTAAATTGCCTACATTAGTAAAATTTTTCCCCCTGTTACCAGCAACCAGAGTTGCCCAGGGAGGAATGCAAGAAAATATAACTTGAATGAAACAGTCTTGCAAATTGATGTGAATTTTTCGTTCCTTTGATTTCATTCATTCAAGCATTTATGTACTGTTGCTTTGTTTTGCGAACAAGGAAGAAACAAATGATCATTAAAAATTGAAGTCATACGTTGGAAAGAATGATGACAGCTTCCCAGGGTATTTTTTAATTTCAGTCAGGTTTTTTTGCATTCCTCTCCAGGCAAACCTGGTTACCAGCAAGTGAGAAATAATCGCATAAGAATGAAGGAACTTTTAAGTGCATTTCATGGACCATGGAAACTCTACTTTTTGTCGTGTCTTTTGAAAACTTCTGATGTGCTGAGCATGGTTTTAATATCCTTCTAACTATGGAAAGTTACTTAATCGGCTCTACCCGTTGCATGCAATTAACCCATACAAGGTGTCACAAGTCCTGTGTCATTGCCTCTGTTTTGAGCACAATACTAGCCTTTTATTATTTCTTTATGGTCAGCCTTCTTCTGTCTCTGTGATGTTATTTCAATGATGATATTCGATCCATTTTATATTATAAAAAGTAGAAGAGATGAAGTCCGCCAATGAAAACGATGTTGAAAGAGAATTTTGTACAACATTTGTACAATTTTTCTAGCCCTGATGAAGAAAGAGATAGAGAAAGAGAAGAAAATCAAGGATATTTTACGGATTGGTTGTAACTTGTGTTGCATCAAACAGCAGAATACTCTGGAGAGAAAGTTTTTGCTCTGATGACCTCTTCCTCCCTATATTGAGAATGTTGTTTTATTCTGAAATTTAACGCAGGCTGGCAAATTTATTAACAACGCGTCGGGGACTTTTCCATTTCTGAAGAAACAAGGACAAAAAGTGTCGTGTGTTTTTTCTTAGCGATGATAACATTCATCTCTTGTCTTCAGGGTTCAACATGTTTCTAATCAGTTGACTTATGACGAAGTTAAAATGAATCACAGAAACTGTGCAATTTCAAATGTAACTGAAATAATCACAGGATAATTCCTCATAAAACTTCAACCTATTTTCTATAACTAGTGGTGGTATAACTAGTGGTGATTTCGTTATCTTTCTAAGCATTTTTATTTGCCTAATGTTGATCATTCCCCTGTTTTCTCAGACAAACCATTCCAGAAGAGGAACAGCAAGAAATATACGCAGAACTTTACACGGAACTTCATCAGCAAGATGCGTCCCGGAAAAGAACTAGGAGAAAAGACTCGAAAAAGAAAAAGTAGTTGTAAGATTGCCACTTTTGTTACTTTCTTAGGGACATATGTTTGTTAAAATTTTCATATGATTTTTTAAAACTTTTTCTCAATAAACTGTTCATGTAACACAGAATTTTCTAACCAGTTTTTATGTTTCGATTTTTAGAACTAGGACAGGGCCACCAGGGGTCTTTTTTGAGGAGGTCAGGAAGGTAATGGACCTTCAGGCTAGTTGCAAATTTAAGCATTTATAATGTATATTTTCTCATCAAAATTTCACATTATTAACAAAAATTATCAAATTAACCTTCTGACCAAGATATCAACGTTTTTTGATGCATAAATTCAAACTTACCGCTCTTAAAAATTAAAATACTTTATGTACTTGAGTTCAGTTGCACATTAATCATTACCGTAACAGTATTATGGTAAAGAAATATTGCAGCCTCAATATCGGTGCCTCTGTACAGCTTTTGCATGCTGTTCACTTTTTGAACAACACTGGGGGGGGGGGGGGGGGGGGTGGTTATTGCTTAATTGAGGAGCCTGCCAAAACCGTTGTGGTACGCGATTCGATTCACGTATAGACTCAAATTTTTCTTGTGAGTGGGGAATCTAACTAACTTGTGCTCAATAAAAACGTCAATATCTTGCATAGGAGTTAATTCTAGTAATTTTTGTCTCTTTAATCGTTTTTTGCGCAAAATTTTGAGGAGGTAATATAAAAGGTAACATGTGAGAGTGCTTCAATTTGTACCTAAAAATTTGGTTCTGTGCATATAAATTGCTGCAATTTTGTGAAAAATACATGATTTTTCTTGCAGTGTTGCCAAACAAAAATAAGTAATATAAAAAAGTAAAATAAAAAATAACCACAATCTTGCCGAACTTCCAATTATTAAAATCCATTATCAGGGCCTCCCTATTTTTGCAAGCAATGGTTGAGAAGTTTTTGTATCTCTAAAAAGAAAAAAAAAATAAGAAAATGAAGATAATTTTTTCTCATGGATGTAAAAAATTTCTGACACGAGAAAATATTATTGCAAATTAAGATAGATCTCGTGGTTGCGTAATCATGTTCCATCATAAAAATTGGAAATTTCCAGACTTCTACTGGCATCATTGGCATGTTTGCTTCCTCCCCTTGTAGTTCCCACTCCCCAATTTTGAAAACTGAGCATTTTAACTTTTAAAAATATTTTATTAGTCGTACAAAAAACACAATTGATGAAGTATAAAATAATATTAGTAAAATGAACTTCTTACACAAAACATGATACATTTGTAGCACAAACTATGATAACAATTTGGGAGAATGAAACAATGATGTTGTTTTTTTTTTTTTCACGAGAGGTGCATGAACATCACAAATAATTTGAGTTTGTTCTTTAGAGCTGACTTATGATATATTATTGTTTCCCTGCCTATGTAAATTGGAAACAAAAAACATTGAAAATAAGACCATCGTTTATTTAACTCTTGGGTACTTGTTATGGTTCTCAGTTTTATTCTCGCGATTACTATTGACTGGTGCTCTACTTTAAATGTAGCATCTTTAGAGGTATTTAAATAAATGCACTGCGCAGTGCTAGATGGACCGTCAAAATGTATCTCCACTCGCAAGAAAATTACAAATGTTAGAGGACATTTCTCACGAAAATTTAGGATGCAAGATCAGTTCAAACTGGTAACTGAAATGGTAACTTTAGTACTCCATGGTCGAAAAATTTGAGAGGCAGGTTTGTCTCATCAGTTAATTGCAACTGTGTTTTCATTATCAATGCAAGAAAAACTTAAAGAAGAGTGATTCAATAACTTCAGCCTGGTACATTTTTTTTTTTAAATTACCAGCTCTTTTGGAATATTCAATTATCAATTAAACCCAAATGACTTTGCAGAGGTTAAATTGGCGGTACGTCTAATTTAGGAACTTAAAAAATGTCCTCAGCCGCCATTATCAATATGAACAATTTGTTTCCCGTGTCTTTCATTTTCTTCCTCTTCTCCTTTTTTGTTTCTTTTTTTTTTCAAAAAAATATATACAATTTGAGCCACACTATAACAATTTTTATCAAATAAATTAACATACTTTAAATTACAATTTATGTGAGTAACAATGCAAATCCGGTATGATAGAACCTATACAAAGTGATCTCTCCTTACGGTAGTAATGACTAGAACCCAGAAAAATCGTTCATCTCAAATGCACTCCGATGACTGAAATAATACTTCGAAGACTGCAGGTTTTCCTCCTTAAATAAGTTTAGAAAGGTGAAAATTTTTCCGTGAACAAGAATTAATTATCGTAGAAAAGAAAGGTAAGATGGGTGGAGTGAAACTTCATTGTGCTTAAAATCTATGACTTACAGCTATATCACAGCAGAACAAAAGTAGTTAATAGCAGAAGGCAAATTTTACTCTTCTGTTGATGTTAGAATTTCAGGAACATTTTTCTTTTGATCATCATTTACTTTTTAAAATATTAAGTATTTGTTTGTTTGTTTTTTTTTATATCTAATTTAGTTTTATATTTTCTTCATTTATCATCATTTCGAAAGGAAAAACTATGGTTCTTTTGGATGTACAGCAATGATGGCAGTAAGGTTGACGGAAAGTGAATTTCAAATCATTAGGCAGGGACTTGTGTGATTTTCTCAGTATAGAGATGTTTGTCGTCCTCATACTTAATTCCAGTCGGGTGATTGGATGTTATTTGTTGCATAAGAGACTAAGCTTAATGCTCAAGCTTCATCTTCAGCTGTTGAATTAAGTCTTGGACTAGATTTATCTAAGATTTGACATAAGACTTGGTTAGATACTAAGATTCAGCATTCGCTCACTTCTTGGTACAGAGTTTACTTTTCTTCTGCTCAAAAGTTTTTGACAGGCAGAAGCTGTTAAAAGTTGAAAAGTCCTTGATATCATATAATGTCCTGATAAGCTTTTTTAATATTATTTCTCAATAAAGGGCTATATTTGAACATTCCAAAGTTTTCTAAAGTTAAAAGTTGGAAAGCAACTCCGAAAACTTTTCAACTTATCTCAGCTTGCGTCCCATCCCATCTTTACACAAGTAGGTTAATTTTTAAAAGGGTTTTGATCTTTGGCAATGAGAACCTCACACAGCGGTGTGACCAAAATTTTCCGAAGGAAGGGTCATACTTAAAATATATCTCCTCTTTGAGTATCAGCCGACAACTTGAACTCATCAATATTTATGTTACTTGATACCGTAAAATTCTCAGAGTTTGCAAGGAATACCTTGTACCTTATTATGAGCAGAAAAGCTTGAGTTTTGGCTACAGGAAGATAGTATTACTTGTGAGTATGGACCGCTAATACATCATCTGATAGTTGTCTACATGACATGTCAAAAAATTAATGTAGATTGTTGGGATCCAGTGATTGAAAAAATGTAGGTACATGAAAAAAAAGCAATCTTCTAGTGAGTATTTTGACTAAGGCACCATGATATGAGATAAACGAGCAGCCTCAATGAGGAGGTATGAGGAGCTTGAGGTTGTGTTGATTTTTCAAACGTTGAGATCATCCCAGTCCTCTTCTGAAGCGTCTGCTGCAGTTACGCTGAGGACTACGCGAGGCCTGGTGACTAATTGCAGCGCGTTTCGGTTCGGCATTGTGAGAGGGTTCTCTTGGAGATCTACATCTTCTAATGACTCGGTCTGTTCTAACCTATCGACTTCAATTTCTAGATAAAAACAAAAATACCAAATTTTATTCACAAAAGTCCAAGAATATTTTTAATACAACTGTAGCATCTCAGTAGTAATGACTCTTTAAAAATTCTTTTGATAGACTTTTCACCAAATACTCTCAAGAATAGGCCCATGGAAGGGAACCCTTTTGGATCAGTTTTTTTGTGAAAATATGTTGATAAAATTTACATTGACCAAACAGAAAGCTGCCATCTGTAACCACATTATAAATTTTAAATGTAAATCTTATGAAATGCAAAATGTCTGAATGTTTTTGCATTGATTTAAATTGCAAGGTACGTAATTCTAGTACAGCATACTTGAAGAAACATGAATTTCAACTGACCTTAAGGAGCAGTTTAATTAAGTTTCTGAAAACTTTCCTAGGAGGTGAAACTTAACTGTTGTAACAGTGCAACCTTATGCAGGCCATAGTGAAAGTACCCAGACAACGGTCGTCACAAACACAATCGGTTAGGACCCAACTAACTCCATGATGCTACCCCTTAAAGTTTGTTGAAGAAAATATTGAAAGGTAGTTTTGTCACAGTGCAACCAAGTAGATAGTTGCTCTACCTACTTTCATTTTCCTCTGTTTATGCAAGTGAAAATTTATTAAAACAAAATAATTTCAAAATAATGCTTCAAAATGTCAAAAAAAAATGAGTCTTTCAACTTCCATTTTAAAAACAGGAAAATTTTTATCAACTTTTTTTTAAATTTAGACCATTAAAATATTACTTACCAACGATGTGATTGTGACTGGCATTAAGCTTTGATAATTTTGGCATTTTGTACACTGCATGAGGTAAAGCAATAAAAGCATTGTGAGAGATGTCCAGCCTTTCTAACGCTGCTAGATCAGCCAGCTCATCTGGTAGTTTACTCATTGTATTGTTTGAGAGGTTTAAGTCTGTAAAAGAAAAAAGTGCTTCAATTAATGTCTTATCAAACTTTTTAGCAGCAAATTTGAATAAGTTTAGCTCTTCCAGTGAGATAAAAATTAAAAATTACAGGTAATGTTCAATGATATTTCAATTTTGAATTACCTCGATCAAAATACATTTTTTACTCACGTTTCTATACAAGTCGGAATGTTGTCTGAACTTGTTTGATCTAGGATAATAGGTTACATTGAAAGTTGATGATTATCGTAGATCTTCTAGAAAATGGTGCTTAGTTAGCATTTTAACATCATCCACACTGTGACCTCTTTTTTTATTCGGTTGAAGTAGGGTAGGTACTTAGATAAAAATACCTTGCCAACACACATTTTTAGTTTACTAACCTGTGATGAGGGAAAATTTCACAGCAAATTTAGGAGGGATCTTCGTGATGACATTTCCAGACAGATTGCATCCTTTCAGTTCAGTGTGGCGCATCAGGTGATAAACAGCATCTGGGACTTGCATTAGTTGGCATTCTGACAAATCTGCACAGAGCAAAGACCGCAATCTATTAATATGTGCCAAAATTTCTTGACCCCATTTAACAATAAAAGCTTCCTCGTGCTCCGAGAAAAGCCCACCTTTGCAGTTTAGAGCATACCTACTTATTACCCTCTGTCCTCTGTCATGGAGTATCTCAACAACACAATATTACAAGAGAATGTGTGAACATATATCTACCTATATCTATTTGAGAATGATCCGCTGGGCCTACCTACCTAAATGATACTTTATTTTCTTTTAATTATTTTTTTCCTCTTAATTTTTGAAAAAGTATCAAAAAATATTCTTTTCCTGCAATTTTTCTCATATTTTAATTTATTTTAAATTAACCAAAAATTTAACTGCTTTTTGTGTCACTGACCTTTCTGCTCAACTTTTTCCTCCGTTTAGATCCCTACGTGCTGTCGAGCATTCATTACCGTCCGTCTTTTCATACCCCCTCCCCCTTTCCCTTATTGAAACTTTGAGCGCCTATTATGAGAATACCTAATAAAGTACCAAATTACTCTTTTTCTTTTTTATCTGCGTGCTCAGTTTGGACTTTCATCTCAAGGAGACAAAAACCAATAGTAACAAAACTCGATTTTCAGTAATGCTCAGTGGAGGTACCTATTCTGAACAATTGAAAGTAAAACGAAAAGTCTGTTATAGGTATAGGTAAAAATCCAACATTCAAACCTATGTGTACTGTTGATTTTGAATTTCGCGGGTTTGGCACTCGACCAATCCCCGCCGGCGGCGAGTCTCGCGGCGCGCGAGATCCGACGGAAATGATGAGACACATCGCGTGCTCTCTCGCGACCAGGACTCACCACCCGATAGACATTCATAGCAATAGCACCGTATGTCATTGCTGTACATGAACAGGAAACATTACCTAATCGCAGAGATTCAGCTGCTTCTTCGCACCGGTGAACAACCCTGGTGACTGCGTTAGCCATTCGCGATTCAATCACACGCACCCACCGTCACAGACTGGACCCACTCAACGAGATGAAAACATTATCCGACCTACTACAGACTAGCTGTTGCCGCGCACGGTGAATTTATCATTTCCTCTCGACGAGAAAAACGAGAGTTTGAGGTAGGCCATGCAACCACGCATCGAACTACTGCGCTGCCACGTTTCGTTTGACTAGTGAACACTATTCTTCGTGACTTTTCAAATATAACGATTGCTATCGTAAAAATAGAATTACGCGTGTACCTTTGCCGTTTTTTAAAATGCTACTATATCTTTCGCCCCTTACCTAGGTACTTCTATTCTAATGTTCTTTCCCATAGGGGCAACATCCGTGTTGTTACTTGTTGGCTCATGGTGAATGTAAGTAGGTAAGTAATATGACACGACGCCGCACTCATTTTCGATGGGATGAAAATAAGAAGTCAGAACGCCTTCACTTATTCGTATATGCAACACAGACTACGCTTTAAGGTCGAAGAGTTGCAACCAGGTGTTGCGTTTAGCGTCGCATAGTGTATAACGGTTTAGCATTTTTTATTTATTTGTTTTTGTATTATAATTAGGAGCCTGCATGACTGTAGTTTTAAATAAAATTGTATCGACGTTTTTATCCCTCTTTCGTGTGTCTTTATGAAGTTCTAATAGGGGTCACCGTTTTAAAAATTATAAAATAATGATTTTGCGCACATCTCTTGGTAGATCTGCGCTAATGCCCATGCCTAACTCGATATTGATTCGACAGAATCTAGATTTCTAGTATCCAAATACTGAAACCAGTAAAGGCAGAGGACCGAATCTGTTGAAATTACGTGAAAAAAAGATAGCACAGTTAAGCGTTAGATGCCCAAGACCTTTTTTAACACGCAAATTCCAAATTCGGGTCCGAATTGGTCACCCGTATTTTAATACATATATTTTAAGGTATCCCTGGTAAAAATTGGCGATAGGAGCTGCGTTTCAAAATACCATAGGAGTTCTTACAGCCGACTAAAGAAGGCTATAGAATAGCTGGCTGTAGAAAGCGGAGCAAATCATATAGCCGGGCTATACGAAGCTATAAAAAAGTATACAGTCGGGCTATAGTTTCTATCGCCGGGCTTTACACTTTATCGCCATTGGCTACAAAAGGCTATAAGAAATTGTGCAGAAATTCGTGTGCTTTGGAAATCATTAAGTTTTTTACGGAACTACCTTAATGTTTACAAAACACACATTATATTTTCCTTTAAAACACATTTTTTTTTTCATCAATTAAAATGAGAATAATCCATACAGAGTGTGCAAACATTTCAGAATCATGAGTTGAAAAACGCTGACTCCGCAAGATCAAATATTAGAGCCTAACACAAAGCGGAGCGGCGACGCACTGGCGCCTACAAACCTAACAGGGATACTTCACGCATTGCGCAATGCGTGAAGTATCACTGTTAGGTTTGTAGGCGTCAATGCGCGTTTCGCGCTCTCTGCTCGCCCGCCGCGCCGCAGCGTACCACGGCGTCTGAAGCAACCATTTCACACCAGAGGTATTGCACAGTATCATACGAAATTGAGGGCGCTCCAACATATTAAGAATGACAGGCATTCTTCTAAAGTACGGAGCTTTCCTCGCAAAATATATATCAAGATACTATGGCAAAAAAAGAGAGCGGTAGTCCAAAAATTCACGACGTCCTATAGTATCCGTATTTAGTAACGTTTAGCATAAACTTCATCGTCTGGCTAATGCTTAATCGCCATCGGCTATAAAAGGTTATAAAAAATTTGTACAGCCGGCTACAGAAGCTATTGGAAATCTTTCAGCCGGCCTTAAGTCTATGGTATTTTGGAACACAGATTCTACTGCCAATTTTTACCAGGGATTATGTATCTATGAAATTTCTTTATTTTTGAAGGTACACGGGAGATACTTTTCTTTTTTTTCTCTTTTTCTTTCTTTCAGATTTTCGCACCTTTTTGGAAACATACTGGCGCTTTCTCGATCCCCCTCTTCGGCCGTATGTAACTTTTCTAGAGGAGATAGCCGGGTCAATTTGACCCAGTTTGAAATCTAGGGGTAGAAAAACAAATCCCTAACACAACACAGCTCTCGTGAAATATCAAGTTTTAGTCGAGTGCCCTTTAGAGGCACAGTTAGATCCCTTCAGAGGCAAATTATTTATTTATTTTTGTATTATGAGGAGCCTGCACGACTATAGTTATAAATAAAATCGTATCAACTCGAAACATTTTTATCCCTGGCTTTCGTATGTCTTCATGAAGTTTCAAAGGAGCTCACTGTTTTAGTCGAGTGCCTTTTAGAGCGCTTGAGCGACCTGTAAACATTTTTTTTTTTTCCAACTTAAAATGATTATTGATTTTGACACATAACATATTTTGGGCTAACTCAACCTTCACGTTTCTTAAATTTATAAAACAGAGACACCTCAACGCGTTTTGATGACGGCACAGATATAAGACAAATGGTAACGAACACAACATGGAATTAAAGCAAGGGAAGAGGCGCGCGTTGATGACGGCGCAGAGATACAACTATTCATGCTTGATGGATGTCCGTGTTGCATCTGCAAAATTGAAGGCGCGGTGGCGCGAGGCGTGAACTCTCAATGCTCGGCACTATGTTACCGATGAAGTGTTGCTTGGATTCGGGAGAAAATTTTGAGAAGGGCGCCGGAATACGTCTCTATACTATTCACTTGTGTTGATACTCGATTTTATCTCCTTTTTCTTTCAAATTGTGTCCGATCCTGTTCCTACGATGTAATTGTAGACCTATATCTAAAGCTGGTATGAACCGGCCCCGTTCAACTCAAGGGGCACGTGTTTTTAGCAAGCCTCGGGCCAATTCGAACCTGCTTGGGCATCTAAGGGTCAAGATTGCCCATATAGAAAGAAGCGAAACGATATTTGCCTTTTCTTATCATGAAAAATGATTATTGTAAAAACAAAGTCAACGATTGGTTTTTGGTGCGATAAAATTTTGAAAATAAAACTGTCCTCCTTTTATTGGCCAAATGTTGCAAAAATTACTCTTGAAAGTAATAAAAAAACTAAAAGAAATAGAATAATTCCAGTTTGAATGCAAGAAATTGCAACTTCAATTTAGTATTCTCACTGCAAATTGTTACTTGGACACAATGGTGAGGCACGAATGATGATCGATAATCGATATTTCCCCAATTGCATCAGTGATGGTAAAGAATCTATTATCAAGGTGTTCGTTGCGGATACCTTTTTTATCGATCCTTTTCCATAAGTTTAATTGGCAGATCAATCTACATACCTATCACAAAGCACGCCGCGCCACCACTAGGACATGAATTGGATTGCATTTTGCAAAAAGGAACCAGGAGCATTGCAATGCTGCTAAGATTGTGCAACTTCTTTTGTCTTGGAAGAAAACCTGAGTATCCATTGACTGTTTCTATTTTACTCGCAAAAAACTGAATTTAGGTAAGACAAAAATTACCATGTAGGTAAATTTCGTCTTTTTTCATGATTTCAGTTATTTTACCGCAAAAGATGAATTTGCACAATCTTAGCATCATTGCAATGCTTGTGGTTCCTTTTTGCAAAATGCAATCCAATTTTAGGATACATTTCTTATCGATACGTATCCAATAATGTGTGGACCAGATGGATTACATTTTGCAATAAGGAACCACTATCTCTGACTCTTCCATAAAAGCACGTATTTTCATGGGGAAATTAATGGCACAAATGTTGTTTCTAAAATGAGCTAGAAATAGTGGTTCCTTATTGCAAAATGTAATCCAGATTTCATGCCATTGGAAAGTCCTCAGTTTAAAATAGTAATGTTTTTCAGCTCTCAGCCCCTTCAAATATAATCTCACGCGACATCTTGGAAAAAGTGTATGACCGCCGAATGACGGCCGAAGCTCGCGCGAGCCGTCGTCGGGATCCTTGGCGCCGGCCCAAAAACATCAGTTTTCTCGCGAAGTGCCGAAAATAATTGAGGTCGTTCTCCGTGTCAAAGTTTAAGTTATCCGAACGTTTGTC